GTGATCTTTCTTGTTTCTGTGATTGTTTTCTTGTTTCAGCTAATTCTCACTCATGGAGTATGATATTTTTGGTAACAGCTTTATTGAGATCTAATCCACATTACCATACAATTACCTAAAGATTTTATTTTAAGTAATTTCTACACCCAGTGTGAAGGTCAAATTTACAAACCCAAGATCAAGAGTTTTATGCTCTACCTACAGAACCATCCAGACACCCCTACTATAATTACCCATTTAATGTATACAAGTACCCTTATACCAAAGCTAAACGAAGACACTACAAGAAAACTTCAGACAAATATCTTTTATGAACATTGATGCATAAATCCTCAACAGAATACCAGCAAATTGAATTCAGCATATCAGAAGGGGTACACACCAGGACCAAGTGGAATTTATTTCTGAAATGCAAGGATGGTTCAACATATGAAAATAATGATGTAATACACCACATTAACAGAATGGGGAGAAAAGCTTATGACCTTTTCACTTGATACAGAAAAAACATTTGACAGAATTCAATACTCTTTCATGATAAAGACACTCAACAAACTAGTAATAGGAAGCTACCTCAACATAATAAAAGCCATATATGGGGGTGCTTGGGTAGCTCAGTCCATTAGGTGCCCAACTCTTGGTTTCAGCTCAGGTCATGATCCCAGGGTCCTTGGATTAAGTCCTGTCTTGAGCTCTGCATTCAGTAGAAATCTGCTTGAGAATTCTCTCTCTCTAAAGTAAATCTTGGGATGCCTGGGTGGCTGAGTGTTTAAGCACCTGCTTTCGGCTCAGAGCATGATCCTGGAGTCCCAGGATCGAGTCCCACATTGGGCTCCCTGCATGGAGCCTGCTTCTCCCTCTGCCTGTGTCTCTGCCTCTCTCTCTGTGTCTCTCATAAATAAGTAAAGTCTTTAAAAAAAAAAAGCATATCTTTAAAAATAAAAGCCATATCTGAAAAACCCACAATAAACATTGTACTCCATGGTGAAAGAGTGAAAGCTTTTCCTCTAAGATCAAGTAAGAAAGCAAGGACATCTGCTTTCACCCCTTCTTTTCAACATTATGCTGTAAGTTCTAGCCAGACCAATTAGGGAAGAAAGACAAAAGACCTCCAAATTGGAAAGGAAGAAGTAAAATATGTAGATGATATAATCTTATATGTAGAAAACCCTAAATATTACTAAACCAATGACAGCAACAATGACACAGTTCAGCAACACTGTTAGAACTAACAGATGAATTCAGAGTAGCAGTATAAAGTCAACATGCAAAAATCAATTGCATTCTATACACTAACAATGAACAATCCAAAAGAAAATTACAGAAACAATTCCATTTTTAATACCATCAAAAAGAATAAAATCATTAGGAATGAACATAACCAAGGAGACAAAAGACATACACTGAAAACTAAAAACAGTGCTTAAAGAAATTAAGACATAAATGGAAAGATACCCACACTCCCTCTCAAAATCTCAGTGGTTTTTTTGTTTTTGTTTTTTGCAGAAATAGAAAAATCCACCCTAAAATTCAAATTTTTTTTTTTTATGACAGTCACAGAGAGAGAGAGAGAGAGGCAGAGACACAGGCAGAGGGAGAAGCAGGCTCCATGCACCAGGAGCCTGACGTGGGATTCGATCCCGGGTCTCCAGGATCGCACCCTGGGCCAAAGACCGGCGCCAAACCACTGCGCCACCCAGGGATCCCCCACCCTAAAATTCATATGGAATCTCAAGGGAATCTGAATAACCAAATACAATCTTGAAAAAGAACAAAGTTGGAGGACTCATATTTCCTAATTTCAAAACTCACTACAAAGCTATTGTAATCAAAACAGTGTGGTACGGCACAAAGATAAATAGGCTAGGGAGCCCAGGAATAATTTCTCACATATATGGTCAAATGATTTTTGACAAGGCTGCCAACACTATTCACTGGGAGAAAGGACAATCTTAACAAATGGTTCTGGGAGGGGTGACTGGATGGCTCTGTTAAGCGCCTGCCTTTGGCTCAGGTCATGACCCCTTCTCCCTCTGTGCATTCTCTGATTCTTCCTCAAATAAATAAAATCTTTATTTAAAAAAAATGGTGCTGGGAAAACTGGATATACACATACAGAGAAATGAAGTTGGACCTTTATCTAAACACCATATACGGGGCACCTGGGTGGCTCAGTGGTTGAGTGTCTGCCTTTGAGGAGGGTTGTGATCCCAGTGTCCTGGGATCAAGTCTCATGTCAGGCTCCCCACAGGGAGCCTGCTTCTCCCTCTGCCTATGTTTCTGCCTCTCTCTGTGTCTCTCATGAATAAATAAATAAAATCTTAAAAAAAATAAAAAATAAACACCATACACAATTAACTACAGATGGGTCAAAGACTTAAATGTAAGAACCAAAACTAAATCTCTTAGAAGATAGGGCAAAAGCTTCACAGCATTGGATTTGGCAATGATTTACTGGATCTGACTTTAAAGTGCAGACAAAAAGAATATATAGACAAAATGGGATTCATAAAATATTAAAATTTTGTTCACCAAAAGGATACATCAACTGAGTAGAAAATGGGACAGAATATTTGCAAATTATATACCTCAAAAGGAATTAATATCCAGAATATAAAGAGAACTAAAATGCAACAACACAACCCAATTAAAAAAAAAATAGACAAAGGACTAGAATAGACATTTCTCCAACGAAGATATACAAATGGCCAATAAACATGAAACAATGCTCAACTACTAATTATTAGGGAAATGCAAATCAAAACTACAGTGAGATACCACCTTACACCCATTAAGATAGCTAGTATTAAAAACAACAACAAAACCACTGTTGGTGAGGATGTAGAGAAGCGGGAACTTTTGTATCCTGTTGGTGGGAATTTTTATAGCCACTGTAGAAAGTATGACGATTCCTCAAAAAATAAAAAATAGAATCACCATATGACCTAGCAATTTCATTTCTGGGTGTATAATCCAAAAGAACCGAAAGCTGAGTCTTGAGGAAATATTTCTACTTCCATACACAGCAGTATTATTCACACTAGCTAAAATGTGGACGCAACCAAAGTATTCCTCTAGGAATGAATGGATAAGCAAAATGTAGTATATCCATACAATAAAATATATACAGGCTTAAAGACATTCCAACATATGTAACAAAATGGATGAATTTTGAGGATATTCTGTGAAGTGAAATCAGCTGATTTCAAAACGACAAATGTGTGATTTAGGGGTGCCTAAGTGGCTCAGTTGGTTAACTATCTGCCTTGGGCTCAGGTCATCATCCCAGGGTCCTGGTATCGAACCCCACTTTGGGCTCCCCGCTCAGTGGGGGATCTGCTTGCCTCTCTGCCTCTGACCCTCCCCCGCACTTGTGCTCTCTCTCGCTCATGCTCTTTAAATAAAATCTTAAAAAAAAAAAAAAAAAGACGTGATTGCTCATACATGAGTAAGTCAAAATCATGGAGATAGAAAGTGGAATGGTGGTTGCTGGGGGCCGGGGACTTGTGAATCTAAGTGTGCGTTCCTGAAGGTAGAATGGTCTAACTAATCCACTGGGATTATGATATATCTACTTTTGGTTGACTGCTGTGCATCAAGCAATATGTGAAGTACTTGCCTTGTCTCATTCAATCCTCATAACTTCTGAAGTGAGGACTGTTAATCCCATTATCCCGTATGAAAACATAAACCCAGAGAGTCTCGGTATCTTGCCCAGATTAGACAGCTCATACGACAGAGCTGAGAGTGACTGTAAAGCCTATATTTTCCCTGCTACCCAATGTCAGTGTTTAGGCTTGGGGAGAACACAGGCTCAGATGGGGATGGCTGTAGGCAGTTGGACGTAAGGATTGTGAGCTCCATTTCCTGCTTTGTGGGACCACGCAGAGCAGCCTGAGGCTCAGCCCCCTTCCCACCAGGGAGAGCGTGTTTGGCACCAAGTGCCTAGCCTGAACAGATGTGCTCCATCTCTCACTTGAGGCAGAGCTGACTGTCTAAAGGGAGCATCAGGGTGGGTGGGGGGATAGGTTAACTGGGTGATGGGCAATTCAGAAGGGCATGTGATGTGATGTAATGAGCACTGGGTGTTGTTATTTGCAACTGATTAATCACTGAATTCTATCTCTGAAACTAATAATACACTGTATGTTAATCAAGTGAATTTAAAAACAATAAAAAAAAGCCTCAAGAATTCAACAATGGTGGCAGAGGTAGGAGGACAACACCATACACAGGTCTGGCCCCTCACACCCTTAAGCCCAGTCTTTTGCAGCTCCTGACCCCAGTACCTCTGTGTCTTCCAACACCCCAGCCTGGGCTTGAGCTGAGTCTGGGTGCTGTGTTACAATTTGAATAATTCAGGTCCCAGTGACCTGAGGTGTCAATTTCAGTTGCTCTGTTCCCATGGGCACAAGTGTCCCAACCCTGTAATTAAGCTAAGGAAAAGGGCAGATGAGAGGGGCCTGCAGCCCGGAGCCCTCTGAGTCCCTGCCCCTGTTGTGCTGAGAATGTGCCAGGCTCATCCGGAGTCCAGGTATGGGGAATAGAGAAAGGAAGTTAGGAGGCTAAAGTAGAAGAAGGAAGGAGAAAGGAAGAGAGTATTGGAGGAAGACCAAAGTCAAAAAGGTAGAAAGCAAAAAAAGAGTTCCAGAGGAAAAGACACAAGGAAATGGAGACAGGCTGAGTTGAGACAAGGTAAAGGGGGTGGGGGGGGGGGGAAGTCAAGCACGGGGAAGAGGCCTGAAGAGGCAAGGGTCAACCAGTGGAGGAGAAAGAGCAGATGCCCCAATGCAAGCACTAAAATCCAAGGGCAGGTACAAACAGGAGGGTCGGAGAACTGGAAGGGCCGCCGGCCGGACTCCCCGGCAGAGACCTCAGACTTCCTTCTGACTTCCAGGTATCATCCACATCATCCTTGCCAGCAGGGCCTGATGCTGCCCTCCATCTGACCAGGAGGCTCACCCCCAGAGACCCGCCCTACCTCTTGCTGTGGCAGAGCCATGGGGCCCAGGAGCCACCGCCTCAGCCTCGGCTTCTCTGTCTCCAGCCTGGGCCTTCTGTTTCTGTTCTCACCACTTCCAGGTGTGAAGTGCAGCAAACCAGCCCTGCCTCTCTGGGCACTGCTGCTGTTCCCTTCCTCCCCAGATCTCTCTCCACATCCCATTTCTCTTCACTACTGTGCTGGGAATAAGCGCTCTATCTGGGTGGCAGGGAGGACGGAGGTGTTGAAGAGGATGACAGGAGACCTGCCTGGCTGGGGTGGGAGCAGTGATGGAAAAGCCAGGGGCGGGGTGGGGAGCAGATCACGAAGGACATTGAATGCCAAGCAGAGTTTGGACTTTATCCAGCAGGCAATGGGGGGCCATTGAATAGTGTTAAGCAGCTACTGGCCTGCTCAGACTTGAGTGTCTAAAACCCTCATCTCAGAAACGTGGAGGATGGTTAGAGAGACCGAACTGGCAGCAGGAGCAGTGGGGAGGCTGCTGCTGGGATCCACTCAAGCTTCAGGGGCGACTAAAGGTTCAAAAGATGCCCAGCAGCATGGCTGGCAGGACTTGGGCACTGGCTGGATTGCAGGGGGAGGCAGCAGATAGGAAGGATAATCCACAGATTTCTGGCTGAGGTCACCCGGAGTGGCTGCTGTTTGCTGAGATGGGGAACACAGAACAAGGAACAGGTTTCAGAACAGGAGGGGAGGAAATGAGTTCATATTTTGGACCTACAGAGTAGGACATTCAGGAGTGAACTGTATGGGTCTCGAGCTCAGAAGAAAAATCTGGGCTGAAAAAAAAAAAAAAGCCCAACACCCAGGATTCTGGGGAACAGTACTTGAGTCAGGGGCTGAAAGTGTGGGCACAAAAGCCTAGGGAAAGCAGTGTTTTCAGAAGGGAATGGCCTATAGCATCAGAAGCAGGTGACGGGACGCCAGCCTTGTGGGAGTGGAGGGTGTGAGGAGATGCCCCTGGACAAGGGCCTCAGATGGACAACGCTTCTTCCTGGTCCTTCAGGGTGCTTGGGAGCCGAGGGCAGGCTGGCTCACAAGCTGTTCCGTGACCTCTTCGCCAACTACACAAGTGCTCTGAGACCTGTGGCGGACACAGACCAGGCTCTGAACGTGACCCTGGAGGTGACATTGTCCCAGATCATCGACATGGTGTGTGGTGGTGGTAGTACAAGTGTGGACCATGCCTGCGGCAGTGTCTTGGAATGGGGTTGGGGGGTAGTGAGAGACTGGGATTATTCTCCAAACAATTATTTTCTGTGAATGTTAATATTACCAACAATAATAAGAGCTACTAACTGTTGGATACTAACTGCTGGGCGGGTGCCCACAGTGTGCCCAACACTTGGCACACTTGCATTGCTGCCTAGCAGGGATTATAGCCCATGTAACTACTAAGGAAACGGAAGCCTAAAGAAGAAAAGAATCTGCCAAGGCCACATAGCAAGGTCAGGCCTGGGTAGGAACTGGACTGTGAGCCAGCTGGGTTTATGGCTGCTGTCCAGAGCTCTGTAGGTGAGTGCGTACACACAGGGAAGCGTGTGCATATACGTGCCCACATCTGTGCCCACTCCCTGCCTCCCACTAGGATGAGCGGAACCAGGTGCTGACCCTGTACCTGTGGATCCGACAGGAGTGGACAGATGCCTACCTACGATGGGACCCTGATGCCTATGGTGGCCTGGATGCTATCCGCATCCCCAGCAGTCTCGTGTGGCGACCAGACATCGTACTCTATAACAAGTACTGCCTGCCTGGGCCCCTCCCCTCTCCTACCCCGCCCTTCAGGTGCCCTTGGCTCTGGGTATGCAGCGATTCCCCAACTCCCCAACCTAACCTGGTTGCTATGCTGCCCTGGAAGCTTTCCCCCCAGGACCCTTGGGAGCTGCCGGCAGTTCAGAGCCCCTCCATGACACCCCCACTTTAGTCTGTCCCCAGCCAACCCAGGCTGAGTGTCTCCTGGGGACGCACTGTGTGGTCCGGGGCCAGTTCTGTATCTAGTACAGAAAGGGTTCTGGGGCACAAGTGCCTTTAGACGGCATGTTCCAGCCTTCGGGGCCGCTCCAAGTCTCCCAGGTCTCCCTGAGGACCTGCCTAGGGACTGACTTCCTCCAGGGCCTAACCCCTGGAGCACTCCTTTACGCCTCCGAAACCAGTTGTGTGGTTCCCAGACGTTTCCCCGGTGGTGGTGGTGGGGGGGGGGGGGGGGCTCGAGGAGATCCACGGGTGACACTGCAGCGGGGGGCCGACCGGGACAGGTGTTTTCCCACTGCCCGGCCCGGGCCTAGATGTGGCTCAGCTCGCGGCGCGGCACGGAGGGGCGGGAGCGGGGGGGCGGGAGCGGAGGGGCGGGAGCGGCCCGCAGGGTGCCCCGCCCCCGCCCCCGCCCGCGCAGCCCCGCCCCCGCCCGCGCAGCCCCGCCCCCGCCCGCGCAGCCCCGCCCCCGCCCGCGCAGCCCCGCCCCCTCTGCCCGCAGGGCGGACGCGCAGCCGCCGGCCTCCGCCAGCACCAACGTGGTCGTGCGGCACGACGGCGCCGTGCGCTGGGACGCGCCGGCCATCACGCGCAGCTCGTGCCGCGTGGACGTGTCCGCCTTCCCGTTCGACGCGCAGCGCTGCGGCCTGACGTTCGGCTCCTGGACGCACGGGGGGCACCAGCTGGACGTGCGGCCGCGCGGCGCCGCCGCCGGCCTGGCCGACTTCGTGGAGAACGTGGAGTGGCGCGTGCTGGGCATGCCGGCGCGGCGGCGCGTGCTCACCTACGGCTGCTGCTCCGAGCCCTACCCCGACGTGACCTTCACGCTGCTGCTGCGCCGCCGCGCCGCCGCCTACGTGTGCAACCTGCTGCTGCCCTGCGTGCTCATCTCGCTGCTCGCGCCGCTCGCCTTCCACCTGCCCGCAGACTCGGGCGAGAAGGTGTCGCTGGGCGTCACGGTGCTGCTGGCGCTCACCGTCTTCCAGCTGCTGCTGGCCGAGAGCATGCCGCCGGCGGAGAGCGTGCCGCTCATCGGTGAGCCCACCGAGCCGGCGCGGCGCCCGCCCCCCGCCCCCGCCCCCTGGGGCTGCGCACGCCCGTGGGGGGTCTCCCCCGGGCGCGGCGGCGAGCGGCACAGGCGCCCCACCCCCAGCAGAGCAGCCCCAAGTCCGTGCAGGAAGGGGAGCGCGGGACGAGAAGGCCCCTTCCAGGAAGGACACCCCACCCCACCGTGGTCCGCAGGCCGAATGCGCCGGGTTCTGGCAGTGTGCCAGGCACTCTCCTAGACACTTGGTTTTTTTTTTTTTTTTTTTTGTACTAATGCAGTGAGGCATCACCACCAACCTGTGAGATAGGTTCTGTTATCCCAGTTGTGCCAAAAGGATCGCTAACTTGCCCCAGGTGGTGCTTGTGCTATTTGAGACCGTGACTTTCACGGATTGGGGGTGAGGGTGCAGCGTCCGGCGGTGGGGAGAACCAGTAGGGAGCAGGGAGCTTCTGAGAACCCACTCGCAAGAACTAGGAACGAGGAGACCTTAGCCCTTACCTGCCGCCTCCTCCACTGGGACTGGGACCCGGAGGGCCTCGAGAGCCTCCTGGTGGGGGAGCTGGTGCCTCCCTGTGTTGAGGCCCTGGGCGAGCTCAGTTCTCGCTCTGGGCCCCAGCTCACTCTCTCTCTTGCAGGGAAGTACTACATGGCCACCATGACCATGGTCACATTCTCCACGGCACTCACCATCCTTATCATGAACCTGCATTACTGTGGTCCCAGTGCCCGACCAGTGCCAGCCTGGGCCCGGACCCTCCTGCTTGGACGCCTGGCACGGGGCTTGTGCGTGCGGGAACGAGGGGAGCCCTGTGGGCAGGCTAGACCACCGGAATCACCCCCCAGTCCCCGGCCTCCTGACGGAGGGGCTCGCCCTCCAGCAGTTCCTTGCCGTGAGCCCCGGTGTCTGTGCCGTCAGGAAGCCCTGCTGCACCACGTAGCTACCATTGCTAACGCCTTCCACAGCCACCGGGCTGCGCAGCGTCGCCATGAGGACTGGAAGCGGCTGGCCCGTGTGATGGATCGCTTCTTCCTGGGCATCTTCTTCTCCATGGCCCTGGTCATGAGCCTCCTGGTGCTAGTGCAGGCCCTGTGAATCCCCGGGGTCTGGTGCACGGCACCTCCAGAGAGGGATGGAGAAGCCCGGTGGTTGTTGGCTCTCTGACGGGCCACCCGGTCTCTCCCCACTGTGCTTAAGAGCCTGGGACACCCTCTCTTCAGGATCAGCGAGGCTGACCTCACAAACTACAGGGACCGCTTGTCTGTGTACCCTAAACTCTAAGGGAAATCCAGAGCTCACCACTCCCCTAATTCCTCCAGAAGAGGAACTCTAAGAAGGGTCATGATCAGAACGCAGTCCTGGAGGGACAGAATTGAATTTTGATGCTGCGTGTTAGAGCTTTTGGTGGCGAGAATGCAGGTTATATGAGAAACAGAACTACCATGTTTCCTTGTCTTCTCTTCCTTCCTCGGCGGCTCTTGTGTTAGGGACTTGAGCTTGCCCAACATCCCTCCCTAGGGACTCAGGGAAGGAGATCCAGGATTCATTCTCTAGTTTCCAGAGCAGGAGGCCACACAGGATTTGGCCCCAAAGCCCCAATTCATAATAAAGAAAGTGTGTGCCTAGCACCTCTTTAATGTCCTGTTTTACCCTTGGGGTCTGTGGTAGTGGGAGTTGGGGATCCAGCTTCCTTCCTCTCTAGAGACAGGAACCTTAGGATGCATAGAACAGGGCAGGGATTATGTCTTTGCTGACAAGAAATCAGCTGAGACCCTGGCTGAGGACCTGATGCTCTCTTTGCTGTCAGTCGTGCTCTCTACCCTGTGGAGCTGGAGCCAGTCCACGTCATTCCCACACACTGACATTCAGAGAGCTTCAAAGTGTCCTCAGTGGGGGCGTGCAGAGATGAGCCGTTCACAGAGTATTTGTTCCTTTCTGACTTTCACATGTTTTCTGGCGCTGCCTCTGTGCTTTAGACCCATTTCCTGCCCTCAAGAGCTCCCAGTCTGACATGGAAGGCTGACATGGGCACCTGGTGTAGAGAACCCCCCTCCCCGAGACCTATGGGAGCAAAGAGGCAGGGCCCCTTGCCCAGCCAGGAGGGAGAGGTCAGAGCGGGCTTCCTAGAAGACTGAACAGGAACTTTGCAGGGGCACGTGTGAGGCATTTGAGTAACACCAGCAAATACCATGGCCAAGGGCTTTCCTCCCCAGGCCCTCCCCAAACTAGTTTAATCTTCAGTCTCCAAGTGAGTTGTTGCCTGCCCTAGAGACCCCTGCCTCTATTCAGTGTCTCACTCTCAGAGCTTTGGGTAAGGCTCAGTCCCCGAAGTCCTTTATTTCTTCATTAGCAAACCTGGCAGCTGCCAGAGGAAGTCCCAGTGTTCCCTGCAGAGGGAGTTACCATGGATCCTGGCTGTCCTTAAAGCACACAAGAGGCTGACATCGCCATGTTCCACGATCAAGGCAGCGTGTTGGGAAGGCAGAGCTGTTCAGTGTTGGATGGATCATGGGAGGCTGGTCTCTATGGAAAGGTTCCCCCGGCAAGAAACCAGAGCGGCAGTAGGAGGGACCAGACTGCAGAAGGGGGGCCTTGATCCATGGCTGCAGGAAAAACAGAGCCAGAGAGAGAGGTTTCGGGCTAAAATCCGGTACACAAAGGAACAGGATGAAGAGTAATGAGCAGAGTGAGCTGGAAACACTGACAAACAATGGGAGCCAGAGATGAGGAGCAAGAATTCAGGGAGGAGGGCAGGCAGATGAAAGAGCCCCCTGTTCGCCTTCCAGAGATTACTAGGAGGGCCTGTGCCCCTGCCTCCGCTGACACAAAGGAGGCATTGCAGGATGGGGTGAACAATGAGGAGATGTGAGTGGGCTCTAGTGGTGCTCATCGTTGCCCCTCTGCCCAACCCCTGATTGCTGGTTGTCCAGGGGTAGGGGTGGATCCTAAACTTGTCCAGTGCTTGAAATTACATTACCAGAACTCAGGCTGGTTGGAGGCTGGAGATCTGGATTCTGACACTGGCTCTGCCACTGACTAATTCTGTCACCTTAGGCAAGTCACTTCTGTCTCTGGGTCTCCCTTTCCTGTATAATGAGGATAATACTCCCTGTTCTTCCCCCTTCCAATAGTTTATTGTACAATGAGGATAAAACAAGATGGTGTCTGGGGAGTGGTGGTGACCAGGTAGTGTGGTGGTTCAGAATTTGGCTGTTTGGACCCTACCCCTTACTAGCTGTGTGTGTGAGGTGGTTGCTTTACCTCTCTGGGTCTTAGTTCCCTCATCTGTAGAATAGGGGCGATGACAGTACCCACACTCCTGGATCATGGTGAGGATTCATGGCATCATGTGCCTGGAACTCTGAGTGGTACTATGTCATGGAGAATGGTGGGAACTAAGTGAAGGCCAGGGCGCCTGCCTGCCCACTGTTCACAGAGCCCTGGGGCAAGGAGGAGGGGCCTAAGGGGGAGGAGTGGAGAAAGCCATTATTCCCTGAGAATGGCCCTATTCCAGTTGGTTCCCCTGGAAAAACCTGTCCCCACCTGGAGAAGTGTGGCCCAGAAAGGCCCAGATAAGGAGGATATTCAAGGAAAGAAAAGAGTCACAGCTGAAAAGGCACCTGGGGGTCATCTAGTCTAATATGCTTATTATACAGATAGGAAAACTGAGGCCAGAGAGGGATTGACTTGGTCACAGAGAGTGTTGGTAGAGTCTGGATGAGAGCGCAGGTCTCCAGCACCCAAGACCTGAGCTTGACCTTGGAAGGTGGTCTAAGGAGCCCTGAGGGCAGTAATAGAGACAGTGGGTTCTGCAGCTGAAAAAGACCCAGGGAGGACTGTGGGAGTGACCCTTCCCTCTGTCCCCCCAGGATACCCTGGATCTCTCTGGGGCCTGATCAGTGGCCTCCTGTGAGGGTGGGGGCAGCCCCAGACTGGCAGGCAGGTGTGTCAGCTTGCATGACCACTGCCCCATACACACACATATGTCCTATAGGGGTTCTGCTTCAGAGGATTTACTTGTTTTGATGAAAAGGGGGTTGTTTTCCTTTCAAGGGGAACATGCATCCAGGAGAGGAGTCCAACCCAAGGGCAGCCTACTTATCCTTCAGCTGAGCCCCACATAGACTTGCAGCTCTTACCTGAGTTATCCAGACGGCAGGGCCTAGACTTACACTGTTTGTCTGTAGGGAAGAAACAGAAAAGAATCAAAGGGTCAGTAGCTCTCAGGACAGGAAGGAGCCCCAGAACCCTGTGGTCCATCCCCAGCTTACTCTAGGACAAGCTGGTACATTTTCCCCTAACTCTGCTTCCTTAGGGTAGGACCTCCCTTACCTGCATTTGACTTGACCCATGAGCTGCAGAGCTAGAAGGGAGCCAGCCCTCTCCCTCTCCCATGCCTTGTCACAGCCAAGGAGGCACTAGTTGATGTACTTTGCACTCATGATGCTGTCCAAGTGGGAATGGAAGCCACACTGGACCATTTCCCATTTTAGATGCAGTCCACAGTTCCAGCCAACAACCTGCCTCTAATTGTGCAAAATGGACCTCACGAACCCCTGGGAATCACTCAGCCAGGACCAGCGGGCCACAGCCCTTTCAGAGATTAAGAACCTGGGCCTGTCTTCAGGATTCCACCTCTGGCCGGTCCTGGGGGATAGACAGGAAGAGTATCTGAAGCCTGTGACTGCCTGAAGTGGAACTTTGGGGCACAGCACCCAACTGCTGTCTTCCCACCCCCCTGGCACCCCCAGTCAGTATACACGGCAGCACAGAATTTCCATTCAGCCAGATACACATGCTCCTCTTGGAAACTGAGTTTGGGGCTCTTACTCGTACTTGGCAACAATGGTCTGGATGTCAGTGCTGTGACCATAAATTAGTTGCCTTCTAGCTTCCAGCTGGGAGAAAAGCCTGACCAATTCTGTTAGGCCCTCAAATGGCCACCTGCTTCAGTCAGGAAACCCTCTTCAGCCTCCCAGCAGGTAAGTGGCCAGCCCTGCCTTAGGGACCGCCAAGGACAAGGGTCCTGCTACCTCAGAAGATTGTCTCCCCTTAGATGCAAAGGGTAGAGGGGCAGAGGATAGGATTGGGTCCCCCTCACTGTTCATCTGTTTGTCGAATTTGTATATGGACCTGCTGGAAATGCGGGGAAGCCTGTCTTCTGCGTGGGGCACACTCCACGCTCACCTTTAATGTATTCACAGTTGTACGTGCTGCGCTTGCCCAGGGCCCGGAGGTAGATGCGGGTGGGGCCCTGGGCTGGTCTACTGGCATTGATCACCTGGAAGGTCTCGAAGGGGGGGATCAGCACCTCCTCCTCCCCGGGGAAGAAGGAATAGCCCTTGATAGGTGCCCCAAGGCAAGTCCAGATGCCGAAGAAGGTATCCTCCCCAAACTGCTGGGCTGCGACGTTCTGCAGGGATGCAGATGCAAACCCCCCCAGCCTTACGGTGGCCCCGGGTCCGGCTGGCCGGAAGCGCAGGCCATGCACCCCTCGGAACACCTGGTGGCACCGGGGTGAACGCTGGCCCCTGCCCAGCAGCTGTAGGGCCTCCGTCAGCAGGAAATGGAGCGTCTTGAAGGAGAAGTGGTTGAGGTAGTAGGCTCTGGAGCGGCCCGCCTCTCGCACGGCCGCGTTGAACTCCTTGTGCAGGGGGCTGTTGGCTGTGTAGGCCAGGAGGGCCACCCCGTGCTCGTCGCGGAAGCCCGGGGGCCGTGCGGGCAGCCGGGTGGGCCTCGGGCCCCACTCCGGCCCCCAGGCCTGGCGGTCCTGCCACTGGCTGCTTGCCAGCGCCCAGCTGTCGGCGTACACCTTGTTGGCCTGGAACTCCGTTTGGTTGAGGTCGGGGAGAGCAGCCGTCATGGCTGCCGCGCAGCCAGCGTACTGGTCATCGAAGGAGGCCGGGGCCATGTCCAGGGGCATTTCCTGAGAGAACAGGTCTCGACGGGTGATGGGGTGGCCCTGGGCCTGAGGGAGACGGGGCAGTCAGGACTGAGAGATTGAGCCTCGGGAGAGTGGGAGCCTGTCATCAAATTTGTCCAACTAGGTGAGGACCCCGAGGGTCCCAGACACACCTGGAGGGGGAGGGGATTGGGACCACTGGTGGGTCTGGGGCTGGCCCCTCTGCTGGGCGAGCGGCAGTGGAGACAGTCACCCTCTACTCCCACGGCTCCTCCTCCCAGCGTTCAGAAGAAGCCAACAAAGCAGCTCCCTGCTGGCGTGGGCACGGTGGAGGGTGACCATACCTGAAGTGCTTCCATGAGGCCCACAGACACAAGCAGCAGAGACATCAGGGGAGGAGTCTGCATGTTGGAGGTAGCCCTGGACAAGTCACTGTCTCTCTGTGGGTCTCAGTTTCTTCATCTAGAAAATGGGAATGTTACCTGTACAATTTAAAACATTAAATGACACCTGGTCTGTGCCACTCCCAGTGCCTGGCACAGAGTCACAGCATAAAAATGAAGGCTCACGGCACCTGGGTGGCTCAGTCGGCCGTACGTCTGCTTTCGGCTCAGGTCATGATCCCAGAGTCCTGGGATTGAGCCCTGCATCAGGCTCCCTGCTCAGCAGGGAGTCTGCTTCTTCTCCCTGTCCCCCTGCCTCCTCCCCGCTCATGCTCTCTCTCTCTCTCTTTCTCTCTCTCACAAATAATCTTTAAAAAAGAAAAGAGAAAGAAAGAAAGAAAGAAAGAAAGAAAGAAAGAAAGAAAGAAAAAGAAAAAAAGAAAAAAAGAAAAAAAGAAAAAGAAATGCTCGAGAGAGAAACTTTCTGGCCAGAAGGATCTTGGGAGACTTCCTGGAGGTGGTGTTATCTGAATAGGATCTTTCAGGATGAATAGGAAAATAAGGCTTCGATCAGTGGAGATTGGGAGAGGAGTGGGATTTGGGGTGGGAAAGAGCCTACCTAGAACAGCAGAAATAAGAGGAGCAAATGTATTGGATGTAAAAAGTGAAAGACCTTGTGTCCAGCATGGCAGAGCTTGCAGTGTGGGAATGTTGGAAAGACTGGGGCCAGTCTTGAAAAGTCTTGACTGCCATGGTGAGAGGTTTGGGCTTCACCCAATGGGGGATGTGAGGCTGGATCAGATCCAGGACTGGCCAGCTGGTGGGGCCATGGCAGTTCTCCAGGGACGGGATCCAGCCATCCTCTCCTCCCGCAGTCCTGCTGAGAACTGAGCCCTCCTCTCCTAAGCCCTCAACTGCGTCCAGGACAGTGATAGTGTAGACTCCCAGGTGGTGAGGGAGAGGGCCTGGGAGATAGGGGAGGATGCTCCAAGAAGGCGGAGTCCCAGCTTTGGGTCAGGATTGGAACAGATGGCTTTTAAATCAGCACTGCTTCTTCTTTTTTTCTGTTTCTTTTATTACCAAGTAATGCATATGCTCATAGTGAAAAAAAAATGAATCATAGAGTCCAAGTCCCTGTCTTCTTTCTCCCTCCGAGCCCTCCCTCTCTCATACTTGTGCTGCTATTACCATAATAATAGTATCCTGTAGGACCATTTTAGGTGCACGTGCAAATAATTTAATATGTAAATATGCATGCTCCCATAGTTTCCTGTACACAGGCTGGTTTTGGTTTTTATTGTCATTTTTTTTTTCAAAAAGAACATGCCTTCACATCCGTGTCCTAGAACCTTTTTTTTTTCCAAGAAACAATTTATCAAGGACTTCTTTCCATATCATACGTACACATCTACCTTATTCATTATATTGACAGCATGGAATTTCATAATATAGTTAAAGCATAACTTGTTCAACCATTTTCTTATTGATCGACACAGATTTTTTCCTAATTTTTTTACATAAAAAAAAGATTTTATTTATTCATGAAACACACACACACACAGAGGCAGAGACCTAGGCAGAGGGAGAAGCAGGCTTCCTGCTGGGAGCCTGATATGGGACTCGATCCCCAGACCCTGGGATCATGACCTGAGCCAAAGGCAGATGCTCAATCACTGAGCCACCCACGTGCCCATTTTTTGACATTTTTGATATTAAACAGAATACTTCACTGAACATCCTGGTATAGAAATCTTTGTCTATTTGTGTGCATATTTTTTAGGAAAGATATCCAGAAGTTATATGATGTTTAAAGGCTATAATTACTGTTTATTTGGCACTGCCAAACTGCCACCCAGGGACACTGGTTTGCCCTTCCACAACAGTGAATGAGAGGGCCCTTTCCTCTACATCTTTGCCAGTGCTGGCTATCATGGTCTGTTTTTAACTTTCACTTACCTGGTGGGCACAGATGGTATCTATTTTTTAATTCACATCTCTGCTCACTAATAAGATCAATCTTAACTTTAATTTTTACCATTTTAGAGTTTTAATTTTCTACAGGTAAATACATTTTCATTGTTCAAAATTTAAATAGTCCGAAAGGCATGCAGTGAAACACCTTTCTCTCTCTATGTCCGTCCCCTGTCTCCCCAGAGGCAACTAACATTCCCATTTTCTGTGTATCCTTCGAAAGATACCCTATGCACATATAAGCAGAATCACAGGTATTTCCAATTTCCTTTCACAAATGGTAAAACAGCGGTTCTTTATCTTCGGAAATCTGATGAAAGCTGAAGCCTCTCCTCAGAAAATGGATATATGCACTCTCACACCGTGTTATAGGAGTTTCAGGTGCTTGTGTCTCTGCCCCCAGTCGTACTCAGGCTAAGTGTCCCTGCTCCATAATCCCCTCTGGTTCTTTTCTTTTTTTTCAATTTTTAAAAATATATATATGAGGGAAGAGATGAGAACACATCTAGAAAGGGGAAAAAAAAAACACAACAAAACACAACTTTCCTTCGTGGCCTCAGGACAGAGCCTCCTCAAGTTGGCATTGGAGGTGCTCTGTGACCTAGCCCTCCATGATCTTTGCAGCCCTGTGCCCTCCCCCCTGCCCCACGCTTGGCTTCTTCAAGACAGAACAAAGCTCCAGGTGAGGCATCACTGCTTCCTTCCCTGTGGCTCTGCACGCATTGCCATCTGCTGCAGATGCCCTCATCCTACTACCCACTTTTCAAGACCTAGCTCAGGGGTCACCTTCTCCAGGGAGCCATCCAACTTCTCTGTGGTCTTACATCACCCAGTGCTTTCCTCTGTCACTGTCCTCATCATACTGTGTTGCCCTTCTGTGTCTATCTCCTGTCCTGGCTTGTGAGTTCCTTCAGGGCTGGGACACAGAATGGGTCACTTTGAACAAAAGATAGCCCCCAAAAAACACAGAGCTGAGCCCCAGCCAGGCACAAATGAGGCCTCCTGGAATGTTTGCTGAGAGTCTGAGAGGCTTTCTGGGTACAGCTGACAGTGTAGGCCACTGCAGAGCAAGTCGATGGATGACTTTGGTGAGCAGCGTTGAGGGGGAGTAGGGTGGGACCCGAGCGATGAGGACATTACGGGGAGGTGAGGAGATGGAGGCACTGGGCAGCCACTTCTATCCTACCTGCCCTCTGTTTTTTTCCTCATCCTGTCGGAACACCTGTCAGTTTCTCCTCATCCAGACCCTCACTGAACATTCCCTTCTGGGGTTTTGAGTCCAAATCCCTTCTCAGGAACCCCCAAATTTCCCAATGCCCCCAAACCTTCCAGATATCCTAAATATCTCCATCAAAGATGCTATGGTCTGTATGTTGGTGTCCACCCAAAATTCATATGTTGAAATCCTAATGCCTGCTCTGATGGCTTCAGAAGGTGGGGCCTTTAGGACATAATTAGTTCATGAGGGCAGAGCCCTCGTGAATGAGATTACTGTTCTTATAAAAGAGACCCCACAAAATTCCCTAGCCCCTGCCCCCACGTGAGGACATTGTGAAAAGGTGTTGGCTATGAGCCAGAAAGAGGGCCTTCACCCAACCATGCTGGCACCCCAACCTCAGACTTTCAGCCTCCAGAACTATGATAAATAAATGTCTGTTGTTTATAAGTTATTCAGTCTGTGGTGGTTTATAGTAGCCTGAACAGACTAAGATAAAAGTTTCCCTGAAACTGTTCCTATCGAATCCTAGAATTCCACCAATACTCCAGATTTCAGGTGCCTGGGTGGCCTTCAGCTCAGGTCATGATCCTGGGGTGTCAGGCTCCCTGCTCAGCAGGGAGTCTGCTTCTCCCTCTACCCCTCCCTCTGCTCAGGCTCTCTCTCTTTCTCAAATGAATAAATAAAATCTTTCTTAAAAAAATACCCCAAAATTCCCCTTTAAAAAAGTCTTTCCCTGCCCTGTACCCAGGAGGAGGGTGGTGTGCCCCTTACCTAGGCTTTCTCCAGGGAAGCTGGTGTTGGTTTCCAGTGATGACCACCAGGGGAGGGGGAAGTCAGGTTTCTCCTTTATACTGTCAGTTCTCTTACCCCTTGTATCCACACAGCTGCTCAGTAATGTGACACTCCCCCATCTATTTCTGGATGTCTCCTGAAGGCTGGGGAACGCTAGCCTCTGCCCAGTCTGCCCTGGGCCCGTGTACCTCCCATAAAAAAGGGAAGCCCTGAAGCCAAAGAGAAGGTGGGCTGAGACATCGAGGATCCAGGCTAGAACAACTGCCTCCCCACTGGGTCTGGTCCTTTGTGCAGCAGCCCTGTCCTCAGTATCTTTGCACTTTGTGTTTGTCTTATGTGAACATGGAGACTCTCCTAACGTGCAAGGAGAAATTTCCAGATTAAGGAGGCTGGGTCTGGCTAGCACTGATTTGCTATGTGATCTTGGAGGACTTTCTGCCTCGCTCAGGGCCCCTGCTCAATGACTAAATGTGACGCCATCTCCTGGGGCCTTTCTTGGATTTCCACATTTCGGTTGGGAGAAGCACTTCCATGTGGGGAGAGGACAAACCCTGTTCCTGGTAGATCTGCTACCAGGGACTTGTTTCAGCAGGCCTAGCTGTCCCAGACAGTATCTTCTGTTCCAGCAACTGTGAGTGCTCAGGGTCCTCCATGGAGCCAGGCAGTCAGGATAAATAGGCAAGATTTGGTTTTTCACAGTAATGGGGAACAGTAGAGAAACTGATGTTTCTAATCTACGTGAACTTCGGGATGGTCCATCTCACTGGAAGGGGACAAGAGTACTTGTCTAGAAGCTGTGTGTCTGCCTGACAAGCGCTCTGGTTTTTTGGGAAGACACTTTTCCCACCTCCCTCGCTGCACTTCTCCAAGCCCAGACACACAGTTTGTCTTTTTTGGTATATAGGAAGGATTTTTGGAGAAAGGATTCTAGAAGAAGGAAATTCTTCATTTGACTGGCAACCTGCGGGAATGGGGTGGTGCAGATGGGGCTAAACGAATGAGCCAGATCAGGATGGAGGCCCTGAGGAAAGTCTAGCCTTCTACGCCCACCTCAGCCCCAGCAAGCAGCAAGAAGCATCTCTTTTTGGGACCCCCAAATCCCTGACCATTTTGGGAATAACCCTCAGGCTCAGGCTGCCAGAAAGCTGTCCCCAGAGCTGCTTACTGATTTCTCAGCTGGCCCCTTCTCCCATTACCTCTGATTAGCATCCAAAACTCAGAGCCAGGTTATTTATAGACAGGCCCGCAGCAGGGGAGGGGAAAGGCTAGTGTTTATAAACATGGGGTCACCTGGGTCTAAGAGATCCAGAGAGAGGGTCTGGGGAGGGAGCGGGGCTGGCCCCTGAGGATGTGAGCCGGCTCTGCATCTGGTCCAGCCCTACTGAAGGGAAGGGGGCGGGTGGGTGCCGCCCAGATGCTGGACCACACGTGCCCCATGCGTGGGCCTTATGCAAATTTCATGCAAATCGGCGAGTGCCCCAGCGGAGAGTTCTTGGTGGGGGGGACCCTCGTGGGCCTCCCGGGCCTAGTGGTCTGAGAGCTGGGGCAGGGCCAGGTCGGGGCCGCTGGAGGGAGAGGCCGAGCGGCACAAGTCCCTCCTCTAAGCCTGGTCTCGCTCCGAGCCAAAGCGGGTTCTGCCGAGAGGTCGCAGTGGGGGAGGGGAGGTGCGCCCCTCGGCCCCTGCCCGCGCCGCTCGCGTTCCCCTACCCCGTGTCCGTCGTTGCCGGAGAGAGGTGTCGGGTTACCGCCGCGGGGGCTATAGTTAGCCGCGGGACTTTGTGGACCGGCTGCACTCCCGGGACAGCGCGGCGCCCGCCGGGACTTAAGCCCCCCGCCGCCCGAGCCCTCAGTGCTCCTTCCCGCTGTCACCCCAGCAACTTCCAGGTGGGTCCCTGGCTCCCGCCCCCTCCCCTCTCCGGGCCGGGCCGAGCCAAGTTAGTGCTCCACCTTTACCATCGCAAGACGGTCCCGGAGCAGAAGGCGCCGAGCACGGGGGCTAGTGGGAAACCTGGGGAGCCGAGCCCCGGGGGTGGGGGGTACCATAAAATCTAAAACCCCGCCCACTCCCTTAGGCCCGCCCTTGGCCCCGCCCACACCCGCTTGGGCCGCGTCCCGGACTGGGACCCTTCACACCCCAGGGGAAGGGACCCTGATCTCTGTCCCCCAGCCCATCGCCGCTGGTGCCCTCTTCATCTGGACCTCGCCCTCCTGAGTCTCCCCCAGGAATGATGCTGGCGGCTCTGCTGATGGCTCTTAGCTACCTCGGCTTCCATGCCCTCTGGCAGGTAACTGGGAGAACCTTCTGCCACAAAGGGAACAGGTCAGGTGCAGACCCAAAAGAGGTGGACTGGGGGGCTGGCTCCTCAAAAATTTCTCCCAGGGACCCTCTTCTAGGATACCAGTCCTCTTAATCCTCTTCTTCTCAGGAAACTCCATCCCCTGCAGGGAGCCCCAAGTTCCCATTCTCTCTCCCAGAACCTCTGCCTCCATCCACTGGTCCCCTTAGGGTCCTCCTTCCTTCATATTGTTCCTCCCCACTCTCTGTCTGCCACCACAGGCTCAGCCCAGGGAAACCGGCTCTGGCTACCTGTGTGCTGCCCTCCTGCAGGCCCTCCCAGACCAAAGCTTGACCTCCTCCACAGCCCCACCCCATGCTTGGGAGTATGGGCTGTGAAAGCAGGAGAGAGGACTCAGGAGTCTCAGAGCTGACACTCTCTGGGTGTGGTGGCATGAAGGGGCAAGTGAACCTAAGGATGGAGACCTGGTCAGGTCACTGGACGTTGGCTGTAGATTTGTGTATCACCTGCATCTTAGAGCCAGAACAGTGTTTGGAAGTCAGCTAACCCCACTTCCTACCAGGTGTAGGAACTCTCTAAGGACAAAATGACCCCTTCACGTTGTACATGCTGCCCTCGCAATATTCCTGTGAGGTTGGAAGTATCCTCAGTTTATACATGGAGAACCTCAAGCTCAGAAAAGTTAAGAGACTTGCCCGAGATCCCACAGCTAATAGGTGGAGAAGTCATGATTTGAATCCACGGCTGTCTGACTCCGGCAGCTGTGCTATTTAAGCTCTTGAGCTCTTGCCAAATGACATACACTGGATATTTGGTTATGGAAATGAGATACTGTGTTTCTGGATTGATCTGCCACCAGTCCAGTGTTCTCTGTCCAGTGCTCCGAACTTCTGCCCTTTCCTATTGTGGCTCCTCTCTTTTCTACATCCATAGGCCCAGGCTGTTCCCATCCTGCCCCTGGGCCTGGCTCCAGACACTTTCGATGATGCTTATGTGGGCTGCACAGAGGAGATGGAAGAGAAAGCAGGCCCTCTGCTGAAGGAGGAGATGGCCCGCCATGCCCTGCTGCGAGAGTCCTGGGAGGCAGCCCGGGGGGCCTGGGAGCACAAGCGCCAAGGGCTCACCCTGCCCCCTGGCTTCAAAGCCCAGCATGGAATCGCCATCATGGTCTATACCAACTCATCTAACACTTTGTACTGGGAGCTGAACCAGGCTGTGCGGACAGGTGGCAGCTCCCGAGAGTCCTACATGAGGCACTTCCCCTTCAAGGCTCTGCATTTCTACCTCACCCGGGCCCTGCAGCTGCTGCAAGGCAGTGGAGGCTGCAGCCGGGGACCTGGGGAGGTGGTGTTCCGAGGTGTGGGCACTCTTCACTTTGAACCCAAGAGGCTTGGGGACTCTGTCCGCTTGGGCCAGTTTGCTTCCAGCTCCCTGGATGAGGCAGTGGCCCGCAGATTTGGCAACGCCACCTTCTTCTCTCTAAGGACTTGCTTTGGGGCCCCTATCCAGGCCTTGTCTGTCTTTCCTGAGGAGCGCGAGGTGCTGATCCCTCCACATGAAGTCTTCTTGGTCACCAGGTTCTCCCAGGATGGAGCCCGGAGCCTGGTGACCCTCTGGAGCTATAATCAGACCTGCAGTCACTTTAACTGCGCCTATCTGGGTGGTGAGCCATGCATGAGGGAAGCAGGACCAGCAGGGTGGGAGAGACCAGGAGACCCACGTGGTCAGTGGGGAAGTTGGGATGACTGTTCTCTATGACTTGGGTTCTCAACTCTTAGGAGGCCTTTTTTTTTTTTTAAGATTTTATTTATTTATTGAAAGAGAGCATGAGCTAGGGGAAGGAGAAGGAGAAGCAGACTCTCCACGCTGAGCAGGGAGCCTTATGTGGGCCTTGATCCCAGGATTCTGAGATCATGACTGGAGCCATGACAGATGCTTAACTGTCTGAAACACCCAGGAGCCCCTCGTAGAAGGTCTTAAGTGTTTTCTGGCTCTATGAACACCCTCAGGTGATTCTGTAAATATTCTCAAAAGGTTCTATCTGCTGAACAGTCTAATTGACCAAAAGAACCCGGCTAAGGAGGTTGAAAAGCAGAGGAAAGTAATAGGGGAGCTGCTTCAGGTCTCAGGAGGCCTTGGACTAAGTGGGCTTGACACGACATATATACACCATACCCAAGTGCTGAGGCAGGGACAGGCTGCAGGAGCAGTTGGGGCCGGGGTGGGAGTAGGGTGGATAGGGAATCTGCAGGAGATTTTCCAGGGGAGAAAGAAAAAGGAAAGTTAGAGCGAGAAGGGAAAGCTGGATTGAGAAGGGGAATGGCCCATGCCAGGGCCTGGAGGGAAGGGAAGCTTGGAGTGTGAGGAGCTATCTACCCCAAGGCCTCACCGTGCTGTCTGTTGCAGGGGAGAAGAGGCGGAGCTGTGTGTCTGTACCGAGTGAGTATCTTTCTGCCCCTTCCTCACCTGCTTCAACTCTCCCTGGCTCAGCTGACCCTTCACCTTCTTTTTTCTCTCCAGCAGGAGGGCACCCGGACTCCACCTCCAAAAAGGACTTCTCTCTGCTTTCCTGGAAGACCCTGCTCTTGGCCCCCGGGGGCTTCCAGCTCTCAGGAGCTGGGCCCTGAAAGCCCAGTGTCTGTCACTTAGGAGTCCTAGGAACTCGTGACCTTCATATGAAGAAGAAGGCCTAGAACGGCCTCGAAGCGGGAACGTGGTTTCGGACCCAGCCCTAGCAGCCATTTCCCCAGGGATGGGGACCTACCCAGTCATCTCTCTATTCAATCAGGATATGGGGGGATCTGAGGCCATGGCAGGGTGGAGGGAGTCCTGCTATGTGGTAGGGACTCCCTGGGACAAGCAAGGGTGGTACTATGATGGCCACTCAATTAAACAGTATTGCAGTGTGGTGACATCAAATTTCATTGGTTTGATTGGTTTATTCCATGAGACTAGACCATCTACCCTGCTTTGGCTTTGGGAGACTCAGAGACAGAAGGACTAAAAGGGTGACTTCTTGATCACTCCTAGACATGGTCTCCTGTGCAGACCCCTGTCACATACCACAACTTGCAAACCCAGAAGCTTTAACAGCCAGAGATTCCTCACAACCTCCCCAAAGGAAGGAAGGAAGGAAAGAGGACAGATAGATTCATTAGCCCATTTCTCAGATGAGGAATGCAAAGCTAAGGAGGGAAGCAACTTTCTTAGGGTCAAAGAGTTAGTATTGAAACCAGGCTCCCTGCCTCCCAGTCCAGAACTCTTTCGACTAAAGATTCGAAGGAACTCCAAGTAGGAGCCTAAGCCTGAGATACCTGGGACCCCAGAGCAAGACCTTTCTCTCTGTCCTGCTCCCACAAGAGTCCATTTCAGGGGTGAGGGAAGGGGAACCTCAAAATATGGAGAGACAGAGATTCTCACGCATTCTGGAGGCATTTGACATCTAGAACAGAAACTTTATTGAGGCAAGTAAAGCAGCATAGGCTTCTACTGAGTGACACCTATCCTCACCCACCTAGGCTGCTCTACCAAGCAACAGAAGGGACCCTCCCACTGCATCAGGACCCCTCTTTGATTCCCAAATCTTCCTTCTGGGGCAGGTCTCCAGCCGCCTCTGATTCCTGCTCCCTGTGCACTAACACATGAGCTGGGGAGGAAGGGCCAGACTCTCCAGAAGCTGGAGTCTCAACGATCCCTGGCACTGTCAGCTCTGGGGTTTCGGGGATGGGAGGGCCCAGGTTCTGGAAGCTGTTACGCACTCGGGTGATGAAGCTACTGAGGATGCTGGCACCTTCAGGTGGCCAGGACGTCCCTCCCTCTGCCAGGGTCCTCCGCACACCAGCCACATCACTTTGCAGGCGAGACACTGTCTTCGTCAGCTCCGTGAGTCTGTTGCCAAGGTCTGGGGTGGGAGACAAAATGCTGATGGGGCGGTCCCTCAGAAGATGAGCCACTTCCCTCAACAGAATCCCAGGGGACATCCTGCCTGCAGGCCAGAGGGAGTGAGAGACTGGCTCATGGGCTGGGGGTCAGGATAGTCAGAGTCTGGAGCAGACGAATCTGAGTGGGACTGGGGTGGTCGTGAGTTTAGGAGATATCAAGAAGGAAAGTCTTGTGGGCCAGAGAAGGGATCAGGAATCACAGGGATGGGAACATTTTTAATGGGTAGAGATTTGTGTCTCTGTACTTGTCAGCCCTATCCCATCTATCCATGCTCAGGGCCCAGTTTGAATTACACCTCTGCTTTCTCCAACTTCTGGTCCTCTCTCCTTCTACCTTCCCATGAGCCTCTCAAAACAATAGGCTCTCCATCTCCCTGGGGCTCCCATTGCAATCTGGGTCTCTCCTAAGTACTATCTGCTTACAAAGATGGTTTCTCTTTCTCACCAGACGGAAAACTTCCCCCAAGTCTCTGCTCTACCCAGTGCCCCCTCCCTCCAAAATGAGGCTGGAACAAAGGGGATGTGGCAATTAATGTAGATTGAATGAGTGAATTAGTGAATGAGCGAATGAATGAGTAATGAGTTAAGAGAGTGAGCCAATGGATGAGTTAACGAACACACGAAGGAAGGAGTGAATGAAATGAGTGGAATAAATCTCAGAATGGCTCAGAGAGTCATTGAGTAGGAGGGCCACACTGCAGGGTGTGAGCCTGGGTATTTATTCCCGCAATGCACTGGGAAGGCTTGGGGGTGAGCCACTAACCTTTCCGTTGGGTCTCCTCAAACTCCCGCTGGGCAGTCTCTATGTAGCGCTGTACCAGGGCCTTGATGACTCGGAGGCGGTAGGATCTGTGCTCTCCCTCCCCAGGCCCTGCCCCTGCCCTGGGATTGGCCTGAGATGGGAAGACCAGAGGGTGAGAGGGACTCTGTCTCTTCAGTCATTTTGTAATCACTACACCCTCTCCCCAGATGATAAAGGATGGAGGTTAAGTCTCTCCCTGAAGGCCACATAGCTAGAAACTGGTGCAGTCCTGGAAGGCAGAAGGAGGCAGAAGCTGAGCAAAGGCTGAGTATAAAAGAACTGGGGGTGTGGTGTGTGGGGGGGGTGCAGAGCAGAAAGGTGGGGGCAGAGACAAAAATGTTGAGTCTGGCACCATTGAGTTCTCTCTCCTGCCACCAACCCCACCTTGGTTTTCTTGAGTTGGTCCAGGTTAACCTTGCCCTTCAAAGGCTGCAGAGGGGGAAACTAGAGGATGTGGAGAGGTGTCTACTTGGAAATCATCAGGCAAATTGGAATGATTGATTTGGGGTCCGGCCGTAGACCCCAGGACAGTACCAAGAGGGCAAGCAGGGCCCATGTAGATGGGGCAGACCATGGGAGAGAACAGAGGTGTAGTAGGCAAAGCACAAGACTGGGAAGATAGAGGCTCAAATTCTAGCTCAGTCACTTAACAGCTGTGCGCCTCAGGTAAGTTAATTCCTTCAGGCCTGAGGGTATCCAAATTTAATACAGAAATAGTAGCAATGCCTACTTCCCAGGTTAGTACTTCCCTGGCATAGAGTAGGCTCTCTAAATGCCTAGGAAATAATTATTTGTATATAGTTTTGTCTTCTCTTTAAATATATTTTTTAAGATTTTATTTATTTATTCATGAGAGACAGAGAGAGAGAAAGAGAGAGAGAGAGAGGCAGAGACACAGGCAGAGAGAGAAGCAGGCTCCATGCAGGGAGCCTGATGTGGGACTCGATCCCGGGTCTCCAGGATCAGGCCCTGGGCTGAAGGCGGCACTGATCCGAGCCACCTGGGCTGCCCTCTTCTCTCTAAATATTTTATAGTTAGCATATTTACTCATAAAAAAAGCAAGGTATTTTATTAAATATTTTCAGGGGAAAGATGGGATTGACCAAGCTGGGGCAGGCAGAAATATGAGAGAGAATTATAGGCCTCTTACAATTACAGAGTCTATAAAGCATTTTCCTTGTATAAAATAAGGAATAAGAACATAGGGAGGCCATTTCCTGAGGATGCAGGGTAGGTGGGCAGGGACATCCGACTGGGTCACCAAAGAACAGGCTAGTGAGGTGGGGGCAGCTGGGAGGAGGGTGGGACTCCAGTGGGGGACATCCTAGCTGGCTAGTGTCGGGGGATCCAGCAGGACACAGTAGCTCTGCCCCTCTAGGACTGGGCACAGGCCCAGAGAATTGGGTACAGCCTCAGGTGGAGAAGTGGAGTCTCATCCTAGAGTGGAGCCTCCCTGACAGATGGTCTGTGAAGAGGCACCAGGCAGCCTGGACAGGAATAGGAAGTGACCAAGGGAAAAGGGTGATAGTTCCAGAATTTGGAGTCAGAGGTCCATGACGGGAAGGAGGCAACCACATAGGATCGCCCGGAGCCAGAGAGTGGTAGGAACTGGGAACTCTGGGCGTTTAGTTGATTGTAAGCCTCCTGTTTGCCCCATGCTGAGTACATGCAGGTTTTTGTGCCTACAACTCCCATCTCCACTGTATCTGCCCATCAGCCTCCTGTATACCCTGCAGGGTTCTGTTCTGTTCTCAAGGGCTCTGGGATGCTCCCTGACTCCTGAGTCTGGATCTGGGGCTTGTCCCCTGTGCTCCCTGTGCTTCTCTCCATCATGGGCTTGTCCTGTGGTGCAATTACTGTCCATTTCCTTCTGCTACTCTAGACAGGCAGCACCTTCAGAGACCACTGCTATGCAGATCTTTATTGCCAGTATGGGTGTGCTCGGTAAGGGTTTGTTGAACAAACTATCGACCAATCAGGGAAGGCCTTCCTTACCTGGGGATCCAGGGACCTCAGAGAACCAGAGTTGACCTGGGGCCCCCTCAGACTGGCCTGGAGTCTCTGGCTTGGAGAGATCCTCAGATAACAAGTGTTGTATTTTGTTTTGTTTTGTTTTGTTTTTCAAAATATTTTATCTATTTATTTGAGAGAGAGAGAGAGAGAAGGCATGAGCAAGAGAGAGAGCGCAAGCAGAGGGGGAAGACCAGAGGGAGAAGGGGAAGCCTATTCCCCGCTGAACAGGAAGCCTGACTCGGGGCCCAATCCTAGGACCCTGTGATCATGACCTGAGCCGAAGGCAGACACTTAGTCTGAACTACCCAGGTGCCCCCAGATAACAAGTTTTAAAGGGAACGGAGAGAACCTCCTACAGACTTGGCCATAACACTGGCCTGAAATAGGATGGGGCTCCCATGCCTAGCCTGGGTCAGGGAGCAGATACCAAGAGGTAAGGAAGCTCAGCCTCCTCTCTCCTCTCGTATCTATCAGCTGTTTAACTTCCCAGTTTGTGATGGCATTCTTCCCTTGGTTTCTTAACATTTTTAAGTTAATTAATTTATTTATAAAGATTATATTTATTTATTCATGAGAGACACAGAGAGAGGCAGAGACACAGGCAGAGGGACTCGATCTTAGGACCACAGGATCATGCCCTGAGCTGAAGGCAGATGCTCAACCACTGAGCCATCAGGTGTCTAACATTTAAAAAAAAAAAAACAAAAACATTCAACTGTGTCTTGGCTCAGTTTAAGGCAAAGAGGTTTGTCTGAAATCTGGAGCTTTTTTCTTTTTGATGGCAAAAAGATTGTGTAAAAATAGTAATAAAAATGCAATACTGAAAAGGATTGGTAGGGGAGAGTAGGGGTTTCCAGATCCTTCTCTGGCTCAGCAGGCGCTCAAGCAGCTGCTTAAGGCTGCAGGACAGGTCTGAGCCAAATAGGTGCCTGTGGCTTGGGAGCAGCACAGTATGGATTTCTGTTTAAGCTGGGGGACCCATGATTGGAAATCTAGGAAATGGCAAGAGCCAGGAACAGGGAAAGGCAGCCAGAAGCGAGAGGAGGACTTGGGAAATGGCTTTCTGGGGAACATACTGGAAAGACAGACTAGGGGTGTGCAGACAAACAGGTGGTATAGACAAGACAGTTGAAGTCCTGGTGTGACAAGACCCACGACTAGCAAATGAATTACTCACAAAGGTGGGGATTGGCGGATAGTCCAGCTTCTTGCTTTTGCAGCAGGAGCAGCAACAGCAGATGAGGCGGAAAATTTTCCTGAGAGATTCGGAGGGGCCAGCAAGGGTTAGTCAGGGGCCAGGGCCTAGGAAGTGGTGGGGGTGGGGGGGTGGAGGTAGAGTGGTGGGGGGGTGGGAACAAGCCCAGTGGAGTGCGGGGTGCATGGAAGGTGGGGGGTGAGCGCTCTGAGTCATCACCTGAGGAGGTAGAAGAGGGCTTTGGGGGAGGGCAGGATGTTGAAGGGCACAGGCAGCGTCAGGCCCTCCCGGAAGTAGGACAGGTAGAGCTTGGAGCGAGCAAACTTCCACTCCACATCAGCGTCATCCTGGGGTGGAGGCAGGGGCTGAGCAAGGGCCACTTTGGTAGCCAGCCCTCCTGCCAGCCCTTCTGCCTCAAGCTCCCCAGGCTCCACATCTCTCCTTCTGCAGTGTGCCCACCACCTTCTTCTCCCCTTTTCCGTCTACCACCCACACTGCCCCTGCCTGGCGCACCTTTTCCTCTCTTCCTCCCCACTAGCTTTCATCCTCTGCCATCCAGTTCCTGCCCAGGCTGTTCTCTAGCCACAACCCCTACCCCACCCATCTTCCCTCTGCCTTCTCATGTTCCCACCTACTTTTCCACAGCGCACACTTCCTCACAACCAGGAAGTGGAAAGAGCACCAGACTTGGGTCTGGAGAAACTGATAGCATTACTAAGACTCATCCCTGTGTCCCTTCTTCTCCCTGGCCTTGAGCTGGCCTCAGCTCACCTCAATTTTCTGGAAGGAGTTGGTAATCATGGCGATGAGCATGTTGAGCAGCACAATGACCATGACAATGGTAAAGATGCCATAGAGGACCCGGCCCACGAATTCAGGCACCAGAAACTGAGGCATGTCTACAACGCTGTGCTCCTCCATGCCAAACATAGTCCAGAACAGAAACTGGAATGTCTCGTTGAAACTGGCACGCAGAGCCGAGCAAAGGATAGGATGTGAGGGGTGGGAGGAGAGCCTAAGTGCTGCCCCCACACACTCCTCCTCACCCTCCAGGACCCAGCCAAGGGTGTTCTGCTTCTGTGAAGCCCTTGGACCACCCAGGCCCAGTCCGTACTGACTCTTGTCATTTCTCAGCTCTCACTCATTCTTTCAGTAAGCCAACATTTACTGAGCATATAGTAGCACCAAAGGTGCTAAAAGAAAAGGTAGAGGGCGTATTGCAGATTAAAGGAGAATAATATGACAACAGAATGTAACACATGACCCAGACTGGATCTCAGATTTTTAAAAAGCTAGAAAGACTTTTTGGCGGGGACAACTGGGAAATTTGAATAAGAACTGTGAAGTAAATAATAATTTGGGATTCATTTCAAATTATTTACTTATTTAATATTTTTTTCAGAAGTAAGCTCTATGCCCAATGTGGGGTTTGAACTCATGACCCCAGGATCATGATATTAAATTTTTTAAGTGTGGAGGCATCTGGCTGGCTCAGTTGGTAGCACATGGATTGTGAGTTCAAGCCCCACGTGGGGTGTAGCACCTATTTTTAAAAAAAAGAAAAGAAAAGCAAGAAAGCTTTTGAGTGTGATAATGGTTTTGTGGTTATGCTGTAAATCTCCTGAAATATTTAGGGATGAAATGTCATGATGTTTGCAACCTACTTTTAAATGTTTCAAGGAAAAAAAAAAAGAATAAGGAGAGCAAAAAATTGAGCAAAATGTGGCAAAACATTTTCAATTGATAGGGCTAGGTAAAGGGCATATAGGTGTCCAATGTGCTTTGAATTATTTCATAGGACTGACATTATTAAAATATTAAGTTTGAGAAGAAAGTGAGTAAATAAATGAGTTAACAAATGAATGAATGTGAATCGAGAGAGTGAATTAACTTTTGCCCAAACAAGAGATTAATTATGAGTGAATAGATGAGGAAGTAGGGGAAGGCAGAGGTGATCCCTAAGCTCCAGACTTCCACCTGCCCATGCTGCCTCTGCCCCAGCATACTTGCCCAGCCTCTCCGTCTCCTGGTAGGGCACATAGATGTTGTTGAGACCACAGAGGAAGGCAGTCAAGATGATTATGAGGATGAACATGAACCTGGCAGGGGGTGGGATGGGGAAGAGTCAGAGAAGGTCTCCACCTTGGGAGAAGTCATGCTCTGGGAAGAGGGATCGGATGACACCCTTCAGACTCAGTATCTCTTGACAAGTGTTCAATTTGGTGACTATTAAGAATAGAGAAAGTAGGGATGGGAAAGGAGAAGCCATTTAAAATGGTGCCAGGGTAGGGGTGTGCTTGGGGGCTCATGATCTCAAGGTCCTGGGATTGAGCCCCTAGTTGGGCTCTGTGCTCAGCAGGGAGTCTGCTCAAGGATTTTCTCTCCCTCTCTGCCTCTCTTCCTCTGCCTACCTTCCCAACCCACTCCACACCCACCTCTACTCACATGCGCACACTCTGTCTCTATAAATGAATAAATCTTTAAAAATCATAAAATAAAATGGTGCCGAAGCAGGAGCTCTTCCCTGAGAATGAAGGGTACTGAGTTGAAGCAATCAAATCTGGGGATGGGACTGTCTCCCAGGGAAGGACTGAAATACTGAGATGTGGTTCAAGGATGAGTGAGTATGTCAGAGAGTCCTACTGGACAAGATTTATCATCAGCAGAGTTAAAGCCTTGGATGAGAATGGATTAGCCAGCAGGGGCTGGGGGCTGGGGGTTGGGGGCATAGGGCTAGGGAATTTTACAAGGAGATCAAGCAGTCTATCACAGGGGAGGATGCTCTGAGCAGGGACACTACATACCGAATCATGTCGTCAATCATCTTGCCGATGGAAATCTGCAGAGTGCCCAGTGACTCGTGGGCCGGCAGGATGTAGGCCAGGCGGGTGAAGCTGAGCATGCTGGTGACAGCAAACAGCACCTCCGCCAAGAACTGGGGGTCCTCAGTGTGCCACTCACTTCGCTCTGTGCAGGGTGGAATGAAGGCCGAGGCTGAGAGGCCAGGGAGAGAAGGGACTGGGGGATCCAAACCGAGTTGGGGGGCACTCACCTGCTGTGGTGAAATAGTGGCAGGTGGCTCCATCAGGGGCATCCCGGCAGTGCATGTGGGCAAGCCCAGCCAGAAGGAGGCGCAGCGCGAAGGCTGCCAGGTACAGGGACAGGATGACCATGTCCAGAAAGTTCCACCAGTCCAGGAGGTAACTGCGCAGGCCCTCGATCCACACTTCCTTGCACTCAAACCACAGGAAACCTGGAGGAGGTGGTAGGGGGAGAGCTAGGTTATGGTGGGAGGCACCTACCCCTGGCAGGGTAGGGGTAGAGCTAAGATACCATAAGGACAAAGTTGGTAAAACGTAAATATGCAATCTACGTAAGTACAAAATGATCTTCTGTGAAAATAAAAAAGACTCCCAGGGTGCCTGAGTGGCTCAGTCAGTTGAGCCTTGGACTTTTAGCTCAGGTCATGATATCAGGGTCTGTGCTGGGTATGGTGACTGCTTAAATTCTCTCTCTCCCTCTCCCTCTGACCCTCCCCACCTCACTGGTGCGCTCTCTCTCTAAATGAATGAATGAATGAAATGAATGAATGAATGAATGAATGAATGAATGAATGAAGGAATGCCTCCTAGCTGATGCAGACTCATTTGTGGTGTGGCCTGCACTGATGATCCCAGGCAGCTGATGTGCGTATACTAACACCTGGGAAAGGCTGGTACTAGGAGGCAATGATTTAAATCTGTTGTCTCCCTGCCTTCCACCAAATAAATACTGGACAAATATTTTGAGAATATTGATTTGAAGGGGCTCCAAATTATCCATCTGCTCTGAGTGCCTGTGTCTCAGTGGGGAAAAGTTCCAGACCTGGGGATTGGGGGGGGTCATCGAAGCTAGACCACATTAGCCAGGCAATCCTGCTGCGTTGTACCCTTCTCCATTCCCTGGATACACAAGCGTGTGCTTTCTCCGTCTGCCTAGAAGGCCCTTCCACACCTGCTTGAAGCCAGGCTCACCATGATGGCCCAGGTCAAAAACTACCTCCTCTGTGAAGCCTTCCCTAAGCAGAGAGAGTGAGTTGCTCCCTGAACTCTGCTCTCACAGCTTCCTTCAGATTTCTGTGATGCCATCAACCACGGGGCACCATAGGATATCTCTTCCTGGGTCTGTCTCCCCTCACCTCCCCTAAACTTTGAACTCCTTAAGGGGAGGGACTGTGTCTGATTCATCTCCTTGTCCACAGTGCCCAGAATAAAGCCTAGGAGTCACGATTAGGCCAACATTTATTAAGCTACTACCATGTGTCAGGGGGGCCCTGTGGTGAATAAGACAAATACAGTCCCTGGACTCCCAGATTCTAGCGAGGAAGACAGGCAAGTAGCCAAGTAGTTACAAGCCAGTGTGATAAATGCTAAGATTGAGGAGCAAGGAATAGAGAGGCTGCTTTGGGAATATTTAGGAACAGATCCTCACCCTGATTTGGGGGCCAGGCAAAGTTTCTCAAAAAAGGAACCTTTAAGCTGAGATTTGAGCCAGCCAGGTGGCTAAGCAGCATGGGCAGGCATCAGTGCTGGGAAAAGAGGATGAACACAGGCCAGGGGACAAGCGGGAGCAAGGCGAGGTCAGGAACTACATCAGTTCTCCCAGCCGGAGACTATCTCGTGAGCCTGGTGGGAATGCTCAGTCCTTTATGTTTCACAGGTGGATGAAACCATATTTAACTTATCCGTGCATTATTTGGGCTCCACTCACGCAGGGTAGCAGTGAGCACAGTACATGAAGAAATGCAGAGTTTTGTTGCTTAAGATGTTTCTTTCCCCATGGGCTGGAATAGAATTGGTTTCATCTGCGCTTAGCATAGGTCCACAGTGTTTAGTAAATCATTGGATGAAAATTTTTTCCTGTTGGACTGTTCTTGTTTTCTTCCCCAGAGTTTTTTGGCCAAATTTCCTTTTGGGCATCATTGACTGGCTTGGTACAGGGTGGAGGAGTGGACTTGGTCTTCTGGTAGCTTGAGGGTTTGCTAACTAAGCTAGAGCTAAATGAGGGGAGGACGGCTGAGGATGGGGCCGACAGCCCAGCCCGTTGAGCTGGCCAGCCAGAGGCTAGGTAGTGCTCTGGGGATTCTTGTATTGGCTTTTGCTGAATTGTTACGGAATACTTGATTCTGCTATAGAAGAAAACCGATGGAATGGATGAAACTTATACACTGAGCACAGATAAGTTAGTTATTTGGGTGACATGTTGAACAAATAAATTGAGTAGAGCATATGTGTGTGAACATATATAGAAAGGGATGGGTAGACTAAATATTTGTTATGTACCGAATATACATATGGCAGATGAAGCTCTCAGGATTCATCAGCTTTTAAGTCTGCTACCCATTAGTAATACGCATTCTGGCCCTATGTGTCCTTTGCACAAGGACTGCAAAGGCAATTCATAGCTGATCCTCAGGATGATTAGCAAGCTTCAGCTGTGGCCAGACATACTTGACCTCTCCCATAGATGAAGTGTTGGGGCCAGGCAACTTCTGGCTATTGTCGCCTCTGCTCGAACCTCAACTCTGGTTCCCCTGACACCACCATCATAAGTATACCATTTTGGATTTAATAAACTATATGATTTAGGCATCTCGATTTGATCTGTGAGACTTCTTGTTCCCTGACTTTTGGGAATAGATTGCCTGGTGGTATATTGGCAGGCTATCATGACACCAAGCTAATTTCCCACCTGCCACTATGGACCAGTGTCTTATTTGTGAGAGGATAGGAACATCCAGAGTGGGGGAAATATGGGGCCCTTGCTCAGGGAGTCTTATCACAGGGCTAGACTCCCTAACTGGGAGCAAATGAAGAACATCTCTTGGTGTGTTGGAGCCCAGAGGGGTTAGGTTACAGGTTCAGGGTGCATCCACAGGGAGAGCTGCCCCCCCTCCCCCGCCCCGTTGGGAGGTACTTATTTTGAAGAGCAGTAGGGAGCCCATAAAGGGGGACTGCTACTGCTACAAATAAAAGGCCCCACACATGTACCTGTGACCCAAACCATGTGTAGGGAGGTCTCCCAGACGGTCTGGCTGCGGCCGTGGAAGGTACTCAGTTGTGACTCCATGGCCAGGGATTCACCCAGCAGGAAGATAAGGAACCACAGATACGAGGCCGAGTGCAGCAGGAACTTCAGCACTGGGATCTTTAGCAGACGGCCCATCTTGGGGGGAAGGAAGGAAAGCATGGCTCTCTGGGGCCTGTCACAGCTCTCCCCTTCCTGGGAGGAACTTCCAGACTCTTCCTTTCACTCATGCCCTTGTTTGGACATTTATTGAGAAGTCCTATATTTCATGTCTATTTCCTTCACAACCATATGAGTATTCTCAGTTTTTTCAGCTAAGAACTGAGGACCACAGAAGTAAAGTGACTTCCCCCAGGAGGTCCCTCAGGGTCCTTGAGTTCAGTCACAAGCAAGTTAAAAAAATAAATTCATCATCTTCTATCCCAAACTCATTCTTTCACCTCCTCCTGTGTCCTCATCTTAGACAATGACCATCTCCCGAACTCCTGCCCTCCCTCACCCCATCCATCCTCATGCCTCTAGTAGAGAGAACTTTCTAAAACCCACAACTAATGGGATCACTCACTTCCTTACAATCCTACAATGACTTCCATCACTGCTTCTGAGGCTCTGCTAGATCTGGCCCCTGCCTGCTTCCCACCACTTGCTATTTCTACTTAGGCTTTAGCAACACAGAAATTCTTCCAGTTTCACTAATCCTTCACGTTCTCTGTCCCCTGGGCCTTCGGATATGCTCCTGTTCCCTGGAACACTGCTCTCCCTGTTCCTCACCTGGTTGACATTGCGTGCTCTTTATGATATCCCCAGGGCCAGGCCTAACGCCTGGCTCACAATAGGCTTTCAAGGAAATACTTGTGGAAATGAAGGAATAAAAATATCTGGGCCCATAAAGACTCAAATAATTTGTAGGCTGGGGTGGGGGTCTCTTTAGGAGAGTATAGGGTTGTATATAAGATCAGGCTTTGGAGGCAGAGACCTCAGTTTAAATCCTGACTGCAGGGACACCTGGGTGGCTCAGTGGTTGAGCGGCTGCCTTTGGCTCAGGTCATGACCCTGGATCCTGGGATCAAGTTCCCTGCAGGAAGCCTGCTTCTCCCTCTGCCTGTCTCTGTCTCTCATGAATAAATAAATAAATAAAATCTTAATTAATCAATCCTGACTGAGCTATTTCCTGTCACCTCTGGACAAAAAGAGCACTTCCATCCTCTGTGTCTCCTCTCTCTATATTTTTAAAGATTTATTTATTAATGAGAGACACAGTGAGAGGCAGAGACATAGGCAGAGGGAGAAGGAGAAGCAGGCTCCATGCAGGGAGCCCCACACAGGACTTCATCCTGGGACTCCAGGACCACGCCCCAGGCCAAAGGCAGGTGCCAAACTGCTGAGCCACCCAGGCATCCCGATATGCCTCCTGTATAAATAAGTGTCATACCTACTTCCTAGCACCCCTTCAGGTGACTTAATGGGCACATTAGCAAAGTGCTTGGTAAATGGCAGTTCTTATTATTCTTAGTACCCGGGACTTGGGTGCCAGCCAGTAGCCAAGGCAGAGGAAGGGCATGGTGAGGAAGATGAGGAAAGCAATGAAGAGCTTCCAGATGGTGGTGCTTCCACGCCAGCCAGCCAGGTTCCCACACCAGATGGAGGACAGGACTTGCTGGCAGATGGGGTGTGCTACAAACTAAGCAGAGATGGCGCGTGAGTAGAGTGGGTGGTTACCAGGCAGGGAAGAGAGAGGGGAAGCCAACTGGGTACGTAGTCCTTACTTCCCTGCCACAAAGATTGAGCTGTATTTCTTTTCTTCTCAGGCCACCCAGCTCCAGAGAGGAAACTCATTTGCCATGTGACCTTGGGCTGACCCCAGACCCCATTCCTCTTTGGGCCTTGGTTTCCTAGTCTATGAAGGAGAAGTTGAACTCAGAGATTTTTCTGGACTCTCTGGATCCCACATTCTCTCTCTCTCTCTCTCCTCTCTCTCTCTTGTCATCTCTTTACCCAATGGGGGGCTCAAACTCACAACCCAAGAGTCAGATGCTCTACTGAGTGAGCCAGCCAGGTGCCCTCAGATCCTACATTCTTGAATCTAAGTCAGGCAGTGATGAATGGGACTAGGTACCCAAGTTGCAGAATCCTTAGGGGTTCCTGTCTTGTTAGAGATGTGGGGCACCAGTCTTGAGGATGACAGGAGCAGGGAAAGTAGGGTTTGGTGTCTTGGGGGACAGGGCCAGGAAAACCATTATGAAAGGAGGTTTTTGGTTAAGCTCCTGGTGGGATAGGATATCTGAGGGTGGGTGAGAGGGAGAAGTAAGGGATGGGGAGGCTAAAAGTCTTTAGCTTATAGGAACAGGCATCTAATGATGTGGGGAATAATGGAAACACTTGATATCTGAGCCCTCAGAGATCTAGTCTAATCTTGCTGTATAGGGAGAGATAACCGAAGTCTAACATCAGAATAAGACTGGACCAAACTTACTATATAGGCCGAGGCAGAGCTGAGTGAAACCCAGATGTCTGAGCTGAAGGTAGGGTCCTGGTGGGTAATGGGACTTGCCAGGGCTGGGGAGAGGTTAGGGGCTTAGACTAAAGGTAAGGAGGAAGGTGAGGAGACCCACAGGGCCAAGGGCCTAGATGGAGGGGTGCTTGGGATCATGATCTAGGAAGGCAAGGAGAGAACTTATTTGGGCTGTACCAGGGGCTGCCCAGCCACAGCAGGGCAGGGATGGGGGCGGGGGTGAGGGTTGGGGTAGGGCCCAGCTGACCCGCTTCTGGTTGTAGTTGACGGCCAGTCGCAGCCTCGCCAGGTTGGGGATGCCTTCCTCAAAGGCCTGGCCCAGGCCATCAGCCTCAGGTTCAGTCTCGTCGTCCTCGCCCCAATCGTTGAGCACCGCAGTGACCTCGCTCTGGTTTCGGCACATGCCCAGCAGTTCAAAGCCATAGTCCTGGCTCAGCAACTCCAGGGCAATGTACTCGGGCTGTAGGGAAACAGGTCCGTGTGTGCCTGCCCCCACTGCAGCCCCCACCCCGTGAAGCCGGCCCTCAACCCCCCAACAGTGAGCTTGGGCCACCTCTGTCCTGCCTCAGGCCATCACTTCCCCACATGGGATGTCACCCTGAGTCAGATGTCCTTTCTTTGCCACCTCAGCTCTTCTCCTTGCTGTGAGATGCCTTTTGCATCAATTTTGCTTCTCTGGTGCTCCACTTACCTCATCTCTAAGTCATTACAACCCCCTTTGCTTGTCCTTTGTACCTCCCCTTTCTAGTCCATTTCCTGTCCCACTTCTTGTCCTGTTCCTCATGCCTTCCTTGTGTTCATTTCATTAATTTTTCTGAGCACCTACTTTGCACAAGAAGCTGGCAGTTTTAGAAGCAGACACGGGTAAGGCAGTTCTTGCCTCCACTTTCCCTATCCTAGCCTCAGTTTTACTCAGGGCCCCAACCCCAGAGAGAACGCAGGTGAGAACTGCAGGAGGCTGGGCCCAAGCCCTCCACTGGCCCTCAGGTGGTGTCACACTGGTGACACATTGGGGAACGGGGCTGACAATCCCTGCTGCCTCCTTCTGTGGGCTGCTGTGAGCGCAGAAGAAAAGTCCTTTGGAAGGACCCCACTTTCCTGCTACTTGTGAAATGGGGGCTCTGATTCTTCCACAACTCTGGTGAAGCAGCGTGCTCTTTCTCCAGCTCACTGGGCAAGAGCCACATCCTTCCTTAGGCCTCTGTTCCGATACCCTGGGGACCGAGTCCACCTGGCCCGGAGGAGATGTCGGTGGATGAGTGAGGGATGGAACTGGGCTAGTGGAATTCATGGCTCCTGATGAGTCCCTGCCACCAGGCCTCCCTGTTCCCCCTCACACATTCTCTGCCCCGTGCTTGCAGGCCCCTGCTCTCATCACCGTGCCTACTTTTTCAACGTGGCAGCCTTTGCTTGGACTGCACCCCTACTGCAAATATGCTCCCTCCTCCTCTTCACTTGTACTGAACTGCTCGGCTGTGTAGCGGAGATTCATTCTGCTTCTTCCAGAGTCTGCCCTGAACAGCTGCCCTGGGCAGCTGTAGCCTCCTGAGCTCTCTTTTCTGGGTTTTGGAAGCCAGGTAGCCTTCTCCACTGAGGCATGTAGTGAAGCTGAGCGGCTTCACTAGGAGGGGCTTGGCCACCTCACTCTGCTCTTCCCTGCTTCTGATCACAAGCTTGAGGCCTCAACACACAATGGTTGATGTGGGACCTCACGGAGGGATTCAGAAAGGGCGGGTTTCACTAATGTCATCTCTAAGTCTAGCTGCTTTTCTATCTGTGCCCCCCCCCTCCCTTAGACTCGGGCATCCCTAGGGTAGGGTGTGTGCCGCCCCCACAGCGAGGCGCCCCTAAGGCGGGGGCTCTCTGCCCTTGGAAGGAGATCTTCCTTCAGGGTGGGGTTCCGTAACTCCCCATTAAAATGAAGGGCTCCTGAGAACAGAACAAGGCCTCCTCATCTTCCTGAACGCCCACCTCAGAATACCCACCGCAAGCCTACGGGGCCCGTGTGGAAGGATGGCTCTGGGGGACCAGGGGCGGGAGGAGGTCTGAGTCCCACCTTGAACTCCGGTTCCTTGCGCGCGAGGCGCCTGAGCTCCCGGCTGAGCCGGAAGGCGGCCAGCATGGCGTCCTCGCTGGCCAGGGAGAGGTGGGCCCTGCTGGCCATGCCGCGGTACGTGTTGATGCGGGACAGGGAGAACTTGAGCAGGTCGTAGCGGCGGGCGTTGCTGCACTCGAGGCAGGCGCAGGAGACCGGGTGCGGCCGGGCAATGGTGTGGCCCTGCTCCATGAGCAGCTGGGCGATCTCGTACAAGTCCTTCTGGCAGGCCAGGGTCAGTGGGGTGACCCCGGGGCCAAAGCGCGAGCCGTCGATGGACGAGTCAAAGAAAGCCAGCGAGGAAGACCTCGTGTCCACTTTGCGGCCCTTCTCTCGTTCCAGCCGGGCCAGCAGGCGCCGCACGGCTGCTGGCTGGTTTGTGTCCACGGCCACCAGCAGGGCCTCGTGAATCTGCCGGAAGTCAAACTTGACATTGGCCAGCAGCACGTCAGTGATGGCCTCATGGCCCAGCCGGATGGCCAGATTGAGAGCTTCCCTCCAGGAGCGATCCTCGGCCTCCTCCACGTTCCTCAGGGGCCCTCCTGGCCCGCTGCCCGCTGCCTCGACCCCTGACTCCAGCAACTGCTGCACGAGGCCCAGGCGCCCCTCCTGGATGGCAGCCAGCAGCGGAGGTGGGAATCTCAGCTTCTTGTTCAGGATCTCCATCCAGGTGGGCTGCGGCTGGAGGAAGGATGGAGAGGGGGACCCCTCGGTCCTTTGCTTTTGGCAGCTCCCTCACGCTTCTACCCTTAGGCTTCAACCCCAACCACCATACTATTTTGCTTTAGCCCGAACACCTACTAGTGTTGTTTTCAAAGTACACTTAATGCAGTACTTCTATATGCTACTTTTCTGAGTGCTTTTCAAGTACAGTAACTCACTCACTCCTTTCAATAACTCTGTGAGGTAGGGATCCCTGGGTGGTGCAGCGGTTTGGCGCCTGCCTTTGGCCCAGGGCGCGATCCTGGAGACCCGGGATCGAATCCCACATCGGGCTCCCGGTGCATGGAGCCTGCTTCTCCCTCTGCCTGTGTCTCTGCCTCTCTCTCGCTCTCTGTGTGACTATCATAAAAAAATAAAAAAAAAATAACTCTGTGAGGTAGAGGCAATCACCCCCCCTTCAACAGGAGAGGAAACTGGGTTACAGATATGCGAAGCCACTTAGATGAGATGGGGACCCAGGCAGCCTGGCTGAGGAGCTGGTGTTCTTTTTTTTTTTTTTTTAAGATTTTATTTATTTATTCATAGACACAGACAGGCAGACACAGGCAGAGGGAGAAGCAGGCTCCATGCAGGGAGCCCGATATGGGACTCGATCCCGAGTCTCCAGGATAACACCCCAGGCTGCAGGCGGCGCCAAACCGCTGCGCCACTGGGGCTGCTCCGAGCTGGTGTTCTTAACTACACTTTTCATGCTACTTCTCAACTCAAACAGGAATTACTGTTACTAGTTTTGGATTTCTGAAATCTTTACTAGTTCAAAACATCCAAAATGTGTGATATGAAAATGTAAAAAAATAAATGATTCCATTTCTTTTAAGAAGGAAAGTAATGTTACCAACTTTATCTATGTATTACTCTGAAATTAAATTCTACATCAAATATACATCCTATACTCTAGTATATATGGTATATCTAATGTAATCATCTTAATTATAATACGAATGTTCCCCCCAAAATTGTGTCTGTATAGGGGATATATTTCATGTCCATATTTTCTAGGAATCATTTTGGAAATACCCTTTCATAACATAGTAATAATAACTTCTTGTATAGATTTGTTATGCTGTTAATAAATACCCCTTTTACTGAAATACTGATGTTTAAAAAATTGGTCTTGGTTGGAAAAAGCATCTTTTTCTTTAAAAAAATAGCTTAAAACGATACAAATTTATTATTACAGTTCTAGAGATTAGAATTCAGAAATCAGTATCATTGGGCTAAAAAGTCAAGGTGTCAGGGTGGCTCTAAGGGAGAATCCTATTCCAGCTTCTAGAGCTATGTTAGTTTATGGTCACCTCCACCATCTTAAAAACCAGCAGCACCGAAGATTACAAACATTTCCTTAGTCAACATTTTCTTGTGTAGATTCCTAGGTGAGGAAGTACCAGGCCTGGGTCTGCCCGGGGGCCCCTTCCTCAGCACAGCTTCTACCCTCATAGGAACCCACACAAGCATGGTAGTGTGGGCACCCCGCGAAAGGGCAGGTTAAAGCAGGTAGGCAGGGGAGTCTAACATAGGATCTGCCCAGGACTCAGCTCCTATCTTGTTGACTTCACCTCCCAGCTGCTCATTCCTCTGAGAGTCCCAGAACCTCCAACGGACAGGTCCAGACATGTCCATGCAGGGGTCTTTGAACTGGGCTTTTCCGCAGCCTCTCAGCTCTGTCCAGGGCTCCTAGCAGATCCTAATGCTCCTTCCCCACCAACCTTCCCTGGCTCTGTCCTCTCCTACTTGGGGTGGCATTTCTCCCTCAGTGTCGCCTTACCCCTCTCTTGTACCAAGCCTAGCCCATCCTTACTGTTCTTTTCTCTGGGCTCAGGCTTGGAGCACCAAGGGCTCTCTTCCACCAACATGGCAATATCCGTCATCTGCAGGGCAGCTAGGATGTCCTTACCAACCCTGAGGCTCAATCTATTGTTTAACTATGGCCAGAAATGGGGCCAGGATGAGGAAAAGTAGGAGAGCAGGCCCCTTACCGTGAGGAGGTCCATGGCTGCACCCACTTATGCTGGTAGGGAGCGGAAGACTTAACTCCTGCTCTCCTGCTCCTTGGCTCCCCTGACTGTGCCCAGCTTCCTCTTTCCTACCCTTGAGTTCAAAACCCCGCCCTGAGCCGTCCCTTTGCCAGGACCAGCTGCGCCCCTTCTGCCCTGTACCCTGGAGACCAGAGGAACTTGTGAGCAACACACAGTGAAAACTTTGGGGAAAGGGGAGAGGACGTAGTTGCTCCAGAAAGGCGGGAATAGAATTGAGAATGTCAGGTGGAGGGGACCTTAGAGACCCTCTAGTCCAACTGCCTCATTGTACAGATGGGAATGGGGACTGGGATTTGCGCAAGGTTCCGCAGCCAAGCTGAGATCCATTCCTTAGTCATCAACCCATCTGATCCCTAGAAGGGCTCTGCAAGCAGGATGACAGGGGTGTTCTGCTACTGAGGTCCAAAGATGTTCTGGGTCCAAGATAAAGAACTTGCTTCAAGTTCTTCAAGCAACACTGTTACTTGATTGTATCTAGGGAGGGAATCCACACATGATACTGGGGGTTAAGGTCATGGGATGCTAAAGGTTAGTCTCATGCTCAAAAATCACCCTCAACTTCCAAGTATACCACAAGATCTTATTTGCTAGGCAGTCCTTTTGTTTCACTGGGTCTCAGTTTTCATTTCAGGAAAACGAACATGAGGGTGTGCATCACTCACTGAGAGGAAGGCGTTCTGGATTGTGTCCCGAAGCCCTAGAGAGATCACCAGTTCTAACCCAGAAGTTACAAAGGGGAAAAGGATGGAGTGGTCTTGGGAGAATAGGGTGCCATAGCGACAGAAGCCTTGACAATTGGGAGTGGAGACCAGGTTGGGCCCAGATGTGCCCTCAGGCAGAGTCCTGAGGGAACCAGTGGAGAGAAGAGAGGGCAGCTTGGCTTTATCAGCTCTTCTCAGTTGTTGTGAGGTCCACGCCCCAGTGTCAGTCATAGAGGGTAGGGAGGCCAAAACCATAGGACCTCCTGGCTCATGTCTATGGGACCTCCCCACATGTGCTGGCATGTTCTTCTATTTCTCCTGCTAAGAACCACAACTGGCATATAGGGCACTGGACCCAGGAAGCGGGTGGTGAGCTCTCTGGGGAGGACACCCATAGCACGGACTGCGATGAAGATGGTGATGAGGAGGGCGAGGCTGGGAGAGGCAGGGAGGTCTCTCCACACGTGGCAGCATGCCAGGGAAGAACCTCGGTGCTGAAGGAGCCTAAGGGGGAAGAGAAAGAGGTTAGCGAAGTTGGGCCCACTTCCAGGCAGGATGCCACCCCCATGTGATTGTTTTTGCGGGAAATTTACTCTGGCTGGATATTCTACACCTAACAGCAAACATTCATCAAGGGTTTACTGTAGGCCCTACACTGTGCCCGGAGCTGGGAGGCAGAGACCTAGGCCATTCCTTCTGCACTGCAGAGTTCAGGGGTAAAGAGAAGCTACGGCCACAGGCGGCTGTGAAACAAAGCAGAGGTGAGACGTGCTAAGTGCAAGGGAATCTGAGAATGCTGCAGGGGCTCAGCTGGGAAAGATGATCTGAAAAGATCAGACAAGACTTGGCAGATAAGCACCATTTGAACGGGGACTTAGAGAATTGGGACCCGGAGGAAACAGTTGGGAAGGAAATGCTAGGCTCTCTCTGATAGTATTTCATATTGTTTTGTTTCATGTTTCCTCTGGGGACAGGGCCTGTGTCCTTTCTTCAGCTTGGCCAACACAATGTGAGCATGTGCTCAATGCGGACTTGTATGTAACCGTGGAGAAGACCAGCTCGAATGTTCCCTGGCAACATTCCCAGGTCTCCTAGTCTTCCCTCAAGGGAGGCCTCGTAGTCCCACAATAACCCCCTGGGCCCCAGCAGCTCACCTGCACAAACGGGGCACTGTGCACTGTCCTGGACCTCACTGCTTTGGGCCTGGGGTCGGTGGTGTTCTCTCTGACCTGCCTTTGCTGTCCTCCTCTGGTTGGGCCTCGAGTTCGAGCTGGATAAAGGCCTGTGAGAAAGAAGAAAGACCAGCTATTAGTAAGAGGCCACAGGGGCTGAAGGAGCCTCAGGTTAGGACACGAGAGTGTGGACTCCTAGATGTAGAAGCAGAAGCTTAATGGACCCAAATTGAGGGAAGTCATGTAGCCTTGAATATCTGAGTCCAGAAGTTCTCTTATTGCTTTCAGGTTTTTAAAATTATTCTTTTATTGAGATATAATGCACATCCAATAAAATTCATGCTATTAAAGTATACTTTAATATACAGCTTTGGGATATTCACAAGGCTATATAACCACCACGACTACCTATTCTAGAACATTTTTTATCACCCCAAAAGGAAACCCTAAACCCACTAGTAGTCACTAAACACCCCCGCCCCCCTGCCAGGCCCTAGCAACCACTAATTTACCTTCTGTCTCTGTGGATTTGTCTATTTTGGACATTTCATATACATGCAATTATATACTATGTGGTCTTTTTTGACTGACTTCTGTCACTTAGCATGTTTCAAGATTCATCCATATTGTAGCTTGCATCAGTACTTTATTCTTCTTTCATGGTTGAACAATATTCTATGGTATCAATATACCACATCCTGTTTATCTGATCATCAGTTGATGGACATTTGGGCTGTTTCTACTTTTTGACGATCATAAATAATGTTGCTATGAGCCTTTGTCTATATGGTTTTGTGTGAACACCTGTTATCAATTTTTTTTTAAAGATTTTATTTATTCATGAGAGACACAGAGAGAGAGGCAGAGACACAGGCAGAAGGAGAAGCAGGCTCCATGCAGGGAGCCCGATGTGGGACTCAATCCCGGGACTCCAGGATCGCGCCCTGGGCCAAAGGTGGGCGCCAAACCGCTGAGCCACCCAGGGATCCCCTCAATTATTTTTTTTAAAAAAGATTTTATTTATTTGAGAGAGAGAGAAAGAGAGAAGCACTAGTGTGTGGGGGGGAGGGCAGAGAGAGAGGGAGAAGCAAGCTCCCTGCTCACCTGAGCAGGGAGCCAGATGCAGGGCTTGATCCCCTGAGATCATGAGCTGAGCCAAAGGCAGACTCTTTAACTGACTGAGACACCCAGTCGCCCCTGTTGTCCACTCTTTGGGGTCTATTCCTAGAAGTGGAATTGTTGGGTCATATGATAATTCTATATTTAGCTTTTTGAAGAACTGCCAGATTTTATCAGAGTGGGTGCACCATTTTACATTTTCACTAGCAGTGTATGACAGTTCCAATTTCTCCACATCTTTCCTAACATTTGTTATTGTCTTTTAAAAAATTTACTTTTAAAGTAAGTTCTATACCCTATGTGGGACTCCAACTCAGGACCCTGCGATCAAGGGTTGCATGCTTTACTGACTGAGCAAGACAGGACTGAGCAAGCCTGCTACTGTCTTTTTGATTACTGTTAACCTAGTGGGTTGATCACTGTGGTTTTGATTTGCTTTTCTCTGATGGCTAATGATATTAAGCATCTTTTCATATGCTTGTTGGCCATTTGTATATCTTCTCTGGAGAAAAGTCTATTCAGATCTTTTGTCCACTAAAAAATTAGGTTATCTTTTTATTGTTAAGTTGTAAGTGTTCTCTATGTATTCTAGAAAAAAAGTCCCTTATGAATATGATATGCAAATATTTTCTCACATATTCTGTGGGTTCTTTTTATTTTTATTTTCTTGACAGTATTCTTTGAAGCAGAAAAAGATTTCATTTTAACAAAGTCCATGAGACACAGTGTATGTTCATCTTCAGATTCTAATTCACTATAGAGCTACATCCTTGCCTAACTAGCAACATGTAGACAAGGACATCTTTTCTCTACTTACCTTCTAGGTCTGGACACTGAGATCAAGAAACAAGTAGGAGTACCAATGGTACTCTCTGACCCCACTAAGACACAAGCAGGAAAAGAAGGACAGGTGTAGAAGGGCAATAAGATTTGGGGAGGTGATGTGGGTCTTTCAGGTTGACCTACTCACCTATGGGTTTGCACCTTCCGTCTCTTTGTCCTGCCCACATCATTCACGGAGTTTTGCTCCTCTGGTCTGAGCTCTGTGTTAGAAATACTCATTAAATCTAGTGCACGAACAAAAAGGCCTTCACATATGATATTTCTTCTTTTTTAAAGATTTGATTTATAAAAAAAAAAAAAGATTTGATTTATTTATTTGGGAGAAAGAGAGTAGAGTGCGGGGAGGGGCAGGGGGAGAGTAACAAGCAGACTCCCTACTGAGCAGGGAGCCTGAAGTGGGGCTCAATCCCAGGACCCCGAGATCATGATCTGAGCCAAAGGCATATGCTTAACCAACTGAGCCACCCAGGCACCCTGATGTTCCTTCTTTTAAGAATATTCTTTCTATCTTTTTTGCCTGGCTAATTCTTTCTCACTCTTCAAATCTTTGATGAGATGCTAATCCATGTGAGGCACTTTCCCTGGATTCTCTAATCTAAATCTGATCATTCTATTATGCTTTGCTTCTGAGGTACTTATCACAGTCTGACGTTTCAGACTTACTTGTATGACATGGATGTCTCTCCATTTGGGTAGCAGCACTACTATTTTATTTACTGTGGTATTCCTGACACCCAGCACAGAGCCTTGCACATAGAGATACTCAATAAATATCTACCCAATGAGTGGCAACAAAACCCAGCAACAACCATTTGTCCAGCTATTTGGAACTTAAGAAACATTTTATATAGTATTTAGTATTTTCCAAGGTAGTTTCATAGCTCCAGTGCCCAGCTGATCTAGTATCCCCAAAAGATTAGTTCCTTCCTATTTTCTGTCTCTTAAAATAATAAACTATATCCTTCCTTATGGCACACCGCTTCTGAAATGAGTCCTATTGATTCCTGTCTCCTGGTATTCATGCTTCCTGCTGAATTTAGCCAAAACCTAGTAATTTGCTTTGAATAAACAGATTATGGCAAAAAGTGATAGGATGCCACTCCTGTGATTAGGTTATAAAAGACTGACTTCTTTTTTCTTTTCATAAAAGTTTATTTATATTTTAGTAATCTCTATATCCATCATGAGGCTCGACCTTAGAACCTCGAGATTAAGAGTCTCATGCTCTTCCGACTTGGCCAGCCAGGCACCCCACTGACCTTTTTCTTGCTGCCTGCCCCCTTGCTCTGTAGCTTGCTTACTGTGATGAAGCAAGCTTCTACACTATGAGATGCTCTAGGCTCTCATGGTGAAGGAAGTGAGGGAAGTCTGACAGCCCAGGAGGAACTGAATCCTACCAACAACCAAGAGAGCGAGCTAGGGCTCAGATCACTGAGCCACCCAGGTGCCCAAACTGTTTCCTTTTTAAAAATTTTTTCGGGATCCCTGGGTGGCGCAGTGGTTTGGCGCCTGCCTTTGGCCCAGGGCGCGATCCTGGAGACCCGGGATCGAATCCCACATCAGGCTCCCGGTGCATGGAGCCTGCTTCTCCCTCTGCCTGTGTCTCTGCCTCTCTCTCTCTCTCTATGTGACTATCATAAATAAATTAAAAAAAATTTTTTTTCAATGAAGGTGCTTGGGTGGCTCAGTTGGTTAAACATCTGCCTTCAGCTCAGGTCATGACCCCAGAGTCCTGGGACTGAGTCCTGCATCGGGCTCCCTGCTCAGCAGAGAGCCTGCTTCTCTCTCTCTCCCTCTGCCTGCAACTCCTCCTGCTTGTCTGTTCTTGATCTTTGTCAAATTAAAAAAAAAAAAAATTGAGCCACCTGGGTGGCTCAGTGGTTGAGTGTCTGCCTTTGGCTCAGGATGTGGAATCCTGGGATCGAATCCACATCAGGCTCCCTGCAGGGAGCCTGCTTCTCCCTCTGCCTAGGTCTCTGCCTCTTTCTGTGTCTCATGAATAAATAAAATCTTAAAAAAAAAATTCCCAATGAAGCAATGAGAGAAACTAAAGGTTTTCAATGAAACTCTACTTATTTTCTCTCTTGCTGTCTAGAACAGTAAAAAACAAGAACTCTGGGGTTCAAATTCTGGTTTTGCCACTGATTAACTGTATGATTCAGAACCTTTCTGAACCTTTGGTTCTTTTGTAAAATGAATATAACAGTAACAGTATCTACTTCATAGGTTTGTTATGAACATTAAATACTTAAGTTAGTAAAAGTGCCCTTGCATTGTCTGGTGCAAAGTAGGAGCTACGACATTTTTAATCCTCTCTTCCTCTGTGATAAAATCATGCTATTCCCTTGCTTTACTCAATATGCTCCATACACCACTACTCTGACTTAACTGTCCTTCTGAAGGGATCACAAGACATTAATGGTGCAAGAGGCCTCTATTCATATGCTTTAATTCCTTCACTTTGAAGATGTGGGAGTTGGGGCCCAAAGAGATATGGATTCCTGACTTCCAGGCCAGTGTTATTTCAATTATTACTATACAGTATCTGATTTCTCTTCTGGTAACAAGATACTGACAACTGTTTTTTTTCCCACATGAAGTCTCATTGGTAAGGCATCCTTGGATAGTAGCAGTGGATTCAGGGAGGAAGGATGGGGCTAGGGAGAGTGAGGAGCCAAAGGCAGGTTGTGGGGACTCACCTGCGCTGGCTGGGTGACTGGGACCTGGTTCCACGTGGCTGGTTTTTGTGTTTGCCATACTCGCAGAGGGTACCCTGCGGGCAGCTGAAAGCACCATGCGGGCTGAACGTCCCAAAGACCCTGGCTGCAGGTGCTTTAGGATATCCCTAAGCTCTGAATTGTCCTTGGTGCTCCTGCAGAGAAAACAGAGACTTGGTTTCATTTAGAACAGAGACTCTCATTCTGCTCACCCAAGTCGGTAGCATCTAACCAAGAAAGCCACTTTGATATACAGACAGAGTTAGGTCTAGAGGATGTGACTAAGTGGGGGGAAACCAGGCAGTTAGTGCCTGTGAATGATTTTGTAGGCTTTTCTTTTTTTAGGAGAAAAAAATGAAAAGTGGACAAGCAAACTCGATTCTGGTAGCTACATACGTCTGAGGATCTGGGAAGAATGTCCTCCGAATGGAAGGATTAGCCAGCCAGGGACTGGGACCAGACTCCTGAGCATCAGAACCCTGAGAAGAAAATGGAGTACAACACACATTCACCACCAGGGGGCACTGCCACCAAGTATCAGGGTAGTCCCAAACCTGAGGACTTCACCTTAATGAGTAAGTATATTTACTATAACTTCATGTGGTACTTTTGCTTGTGTGCACACTCTCTTCCGGCTCTAGGGTATGAGATCCAGTAGTTTTGTATACTTAGTTTCCCAATGCTAAGGGTTTTGTCATTATTCAGAAAGATCAAAGAATATATGCTTTTGGGAAAAACAGGGCCAGAGGACTGACAATCATGTGCAAACTTTTGAAAGCATATATATATATATATATATATATATATATATGCTGCACATAAACTACATATATACATATGTAGTTTCAATCTGTATGTACATAAAATTGATTCGTGTAGGTACAAAACTCAAATCACCTCTCTCTCTTTATACACCTAGGAGACAACGTAAATATACCCATGTTTCTCTATATTTAAAAATAGTTCAAAAGAGAACATTCTTATCATTTTTCTCTTCTAAATATTATTTAATAATATTGTTTAATTTCCAGTATGATTTCTTTTGTGTACAATTTTGTTCACCTGCAACTAAAAACCTACCAATTTTAGCCATCATTTCTACCCATTGATAGAAAGAGATGTGTATGTACATATGTATATATAGATGCCACAAGTATTAGCCTAGCCACTAGCAGTAGCCACTATATGTAACTATCATAGGTATTTTATAAACCTCTTTACTTCTAACTCTAGAAATGTCTGCATGATAATCATGCAATAGATCATTTCCATATAGATTTTATGTGGCATGTGCTACAGTTTCTATTTTTCAAAATTCAATTTATCCATGTCAATTCATCTGTACCTATTTCCTTTTTTATTTTTCCAAATTTCCTTTTTCCCTTGAATTTAAAAGAAGTAAAAAATTTTGTCCTTAATTTGCAGCTCTGATTCTTCTATCACACTCTTCTTTTTAATATGTATGTATGTAGGCTCTGTGCCCAACATGGGGCTTGAACTCATGACCTTGAGATCAAGACCTGAGCTGAAATCAAGAGTCCAATACTCTGGGGCAGCCCCGGTGGCGCAGCGGTTTAGCGCCGCCTGCAGCCCAGGGCGCGATCCTGGAGACCCGGGATCAAGTCCCACGTCAGGCTCCCTGCATGGAGCCTGCTTCTCCCGCTGCCTCTGTCTCTGCCTCTCTCTCTCTCTGTCTATCATGAAAAAAGAGTCCAATACTCTACCAACTAAGCCACTCAGGTGCCCTTATCACAGATTCTTTTTTTTTTAATATTTATTTATTTATTTATTTATTTATTTATTTATTTATTTATTTATTTATTTATGATAGCCACAGAGAGAGAGAGAGAGAGAGGCAGAGACACAGGCAGAGGGAGAAGCAGGCTCCATGCACCGGGAGCCCGACGTGGGATTCGATCCCGGGTCTCCAGGATCGCGCCCTGGGCCAAAAGGCGCCAAACCGCTGCGCCATTCTATTAGAGATAAACATCTTTCTTGTGAAGCATGACCTTGGCTTCATTCTGCAAATATGGGAAGTAGTATTTTTGTTCACATTCACAGCTTGTTATATTTATTTAAGTAATCGCATTCATGGTTTAATATTTTATAAGTTCCATCATAGTTTCATCTTGGACCTACCACTAATTTTGAAATATTTTAATTTTCCAGGGATTTTATTTTTTCTTTGCCTTGTCTCATAAATTTTACAGTGAATGTTACTAGAAAAGATAACTGGATGGGTTTATTTAACTCTAAATGAGATTAGGAATTGGGATCCTATGCACAAATTAAATGTAGTCAGGTGGCTTGGCTTATTTGGTCACATGACCTGGGGCATCTCACTAAATTTCTCTGTGCTTCTGTTTCCTAACTGGAAAAACCAGTGCCACAAAAGATCTTATTTCATAGGGCTAAAAAGCCCTTATGTTTTGCTTTCACTATAATATATCACTAGAATGACACATTAGGGAAAAAAAAACCTATGGAATTTTAGATATCTTAAATTATAAAACCAAGTGCCATCAACCTATTTCCATGCACCAACCCTTAGGAGTAGAAATGTTTCTTTCGGGATCTCTTTCCCTGTGGTTTCACTGAGGTGTGTGCAGTATGTTTCACTCTGCTATTAATGTTCAACACCTTTGACATTACGGCTCTGGGGTTGCTGAGTCCCTCTGCTATCCCACCTGGGTCTTAAAGGTACAGGGTAATTTTTTTTTAATTTTTTAAAATTTATTTATTCATGAGAGAAACAGGGAGAGACACAGGCAGAAGGAGAAGCAGGCTCCATGCAGGGAGTCCGATGCGGAACTCGATCCCAGGACCCCAGGATCACACCCTGGGCCGAAGGCAGGCGCCAAACCGCTGAGCCACCCAGGGATCCCGGGTGCAGGGTAATTTAGATGGCCAAAATGGAAAAGGCTCTAAGAAACTCTTATTTAGCCTATAATTAGGGAGACCACATGTCCTGATTTGCCTGGGATGATACTGTTGTCTTGATATAATTAATGGCACTCTTTTTTGCACTTTAAGTGTCTCTCAGTTTGGATGGTAAATTTTATGGTGTTCCTATCTACAATTTGCCCCTGGATGATCAGTTATTGTAAAAACCCACTTGCATGCTTTGTTCTAGCTGCCAAGAACCAGTATGGAATAAGACAAACAGGTCCCTAATTTCGCAGAGCTTCCGTTTAATTGGAGCCGGGGCCACGGTGCTGTAGCTCCATTCATGTCAGCCCCTAGGCACTGCAGTACCAGAATCTGGCAGAGCACTGGAACTGCTTCCACTGGTCCTGCTGCATTTTTCAGCCCTTCCAAAGAAGGAGGAGTAAATCTCAGGCTAGGCTCTACTTTGTCTCAGTTCCCTGGGTCTCTCCTAAGGCTATACTACAAAAGCATCTCCTCTTCTCTTCTTCATGCCCAGTCTCTTGTTTTTCTCAGTAACTTTAACAGCAATGACACCTGTGACATTGACTCCTGGGGCTGAGCTTCTTTTGGTGATGTCAGATGTTTGGAGCTTCTAGAGCTATACTGTGTGCATAGGAAGGCCTGTGGTACAATGGCAGGAGAATTGATCTCTAGTCCCTCCTCTGCTCTGAGTCACTATGTGAATCTGAATATGGAGGTTCTCCTAGCTGAGATGGAGAATGAGGTGTAGAATGAGGCCTGATGATCTCTAAGTATTTTTTCACCTCTAGAATTCTATGACTCTAGCTGTATGTGATTCTGTCTTTGTACTTGTTTGTGAGTGAATTATGATGGAGGGTATCAGAAAGATTAATGAAGACACCAGTGGCAAGAAAGCAGGGGGAGCCAGAATAGGCTTAGAAGGAAAAAAATAACTAGAAGACTGGCTGAGACAAGGGGAGAGAAACGGACCAGATACCTATCCATTGTCTCTTGGCAGTATTTGTGTGCTGTGAGGGGAGAGAAGGCAGGAAAACAGATGAAATTGCAGAACACGTATCTAAGATTATAACTGGTTCTCCTGGCAGGTGGGTCAGGTGAGAACGATGATGGACAGACAGTGAGCCCCAGGACTTGCAGGTGCCGGAAGGAAAAGTCTGATGAAAGCTACAGCCCACAGGAACCTAAGCCTAAAGGATGAGATTAAGTTTGAATCCAGAAAGAAACTTCACTCTTGATAAAGAATGAGTGGTCTAATAGCTTCACTGTACTGAAGGCTCACTCCCTTGAATCTCCCACGGATCAATGGGGAGGAGAGATGTTAACTGGCACCTGTAAGAAAGGGTAGCAAGCCCATTTATGTTTTCATCTGAGTGTGTATGTGTACGTGCACACGTGTCTATCCCTCAATCAAGCGCCAGCTTTCTACCCAGAAATTGAAAAAAAAGGTAGGAAAATACGAAGTCCTTCTTCTAGCATCATACATACCTGGCTCAGCCTAGAGCTCTCGGGGCTGAGGGAGCCCTCACAGGGTCATCTAAGTAGTCCAGGGAGGAACACACCCGGAGGAAGGCCAGGCCAAAAGACTGCTGACGTGTGAACGGTTGGGAGCAGGTCAGGCGAAGTCGATCCCATGACTCACCTGAGGCTGGAGCCAGGAAATCACCTCAAAGGAAAAAGAAAGAAAATGAGAGGGAAAGGAAATGTGTGAATGGAAGGGAGAAAGGATGAGAAGGTCAGTATTGAGGAGAGGGAAGAAGAGACAGGACTGCATAGGGTAAACTCCAACAAAAGGAAGAATGGAGGTCATCAGTAACTGGCCCCTCATGCCTTGGTGCTTGGCATGCAGCACCATGCAGACCCACCAAGGTGCACTCAGACCCAGGGCCTTGCCTTCCCACCATCCCTCCTCAGCGTCCCACACCGTGCCCGGCATGAGCACATCTTCATGCTACAACTTTCTGGGGACCTTCTCAATATCTTATTTTACAGGATGTACCTGTAGCGTTGGGGTCTGAGGTGACCACCTGCCTGGTGGGGAGCTGCATCTACTCTTCCTGGACCACGAGACCTCTGCCTCCCTCAGCACTCCATGGCCTTCACACTATGACATACCAATGCTGCAAACCCTTTCCACCTTTAGCTCCCAGCACTATCTGGTAGTACCTCAGCTCCTGCACCTCCTGTGCTCCTCCCATATCACTCTTCCTTTGAGACATTACAAACACCTGAATTTCAACATAGATAAATCCTTGCTAGACTGTTAATCCCCAGAGGCCAGGAATCAGATCTTATATTTCTTCTGCAGAGCCTAGTGAACACAGAGATTTGCATAGATTGGCACTCAGGAACTACTGTATAGTACCTCAATATATCCATCCTATAGTTTTCTATCACTTACAGAAACATTCTCTACTAACATGTGTATAGTTGTCTATCCTTATCTGCAGGGCACGTGTTCCAAGACCCCCAGTGGATGCTTGAAACTACAGATACAAACCGTCTTTTCCTATACGTGCATACCTATGATAAAGTTGAACTTATAAATAAGGCACAGGGAGAGATTAACAACAATAACTAATAATAAAATAGAGCAATTATAGTAATATACCATAATTAAAGTTATATGAATGTGGTCTCTCTCTCTCAAAATATCTTACTCACCCTTTTTCTTGTGATGCTATGAGATGATAAAATGCCTACGTGATGAAATGAAGTGAGGTGACTGATGCAGGCACTACTACTTGACGTTCTGACATTATGTCAGAAGGAGCATCATCTGCTTCTGGGCTGTGGTTGACTGCAGGGGGACTACTGTACTCACACTAATGTACATTTGTACAAATAAAAACACTACTCACAAATAAGAGTTCTATAGCCACCTCCACCCAATCATGTTATGTGTAAATACAAATGATAGCTTATCAATATTCTCGGCTATCATCTATTCTCATCACAGAGAACTCATACACAAACACACCACACAGCTATTCGCTCCCTACCTACTCCAGATATAACCGAGCACCTGCACAGGCCTCTCCTCCAAGCCCACCTACCACCTCAGCTCCATGGCCCTCTATAGCAGGTCATCTAGCTTCACAGCACAGCATCTCTTTCTCATAATCTTTCTTGCTCAGACTCTCTCATTTCTGCTTTTCGCCTTCCTTACCATTTTTATTTTTTTAATTATTATTATTATTATTTTTTAAGGTTCGAGAGTGCTTTAATAGGGAGCGCTCCCGGGCGAGGTTCCCTGACTCGGAGAGGTGGCCTGAGTCAGGGAAGTCGCCTAATTAAAATTTTTTTTAATTTTTCAAGATTTTATTAATTTATGAGAGAGAGAGACTGTGCAAGATGAGTACAAGCAGGGGGAGGGGCAGAGGGAGATGAAGAAGCAGATTCCTCGCTGAAAGCGGAGCCTGACATGGGGCTCAATCCCAGGACCCTGGGATCATGACCTGAGCCAAAGGCAGACGCTTAACTGAGCCACCGAGTGCCCTTCCTTACCATCCTTAAACATGCGGACACCTGAGCGGTTTTTCCCCTGCTTTGAATCAGCTAAGGACATGAGCATGGTTGCAGGGAGCAGGGTAACAAAAGGTCTGTCCAGGGACCAGGAAGAACGGCCCACATCAATTTGCAGGAAAGCACAGCCACAGTTACCTGGGGACAAAAGGTCAAGAGAAGGATTTAAAGGTGACGGGAAGACAGATGCTCCCCCTACTGCGCACAAAAAATTGGGTAGGAAAAGGACATTCTTCTATTCTGGGGCTATTTGGAAGCCTAGAAAGATCAAGGAACATAGTGAGCCAGCACTTGAAGTGGACGAGATCTCAGTCCACAAAATAACAATATGAAGGTTCACAGTGGTCCTATCAGCTGGAAACCTTCCCTGACTCAGTAGACTTTCTGTTTCCTCATCCTCTGGCTCTGGCAGGCAATGCTAATATTTCTCTATTAACCCCTGCTAAGGAGCCTGACACCGCTCCGTCCTGACAGAGCTGAGACCAATGGTATATGTCAGTTCTCTACTCCAGAGAATTCTAAGGCCAACCTTCTCAGCCCATAAACTCCTATGGAGCCTTCTTAGATTAGTATGCAGAGCTCAGCCCCAGCCTGCTCTTGACAATGATATTTAGAGGTGTATACAGGTTCTACCTCTTGGCATTTATAATTATGTCAGTGTCCTCAGGCTTTACCCAGTCTGCTTAGATCAAAGCAGGGCAGGTATATTGCATAATTCAGGGAATGCTATCCCTGTTGCATTCTATGTGAACAGAATCCTCAGAGTTTGCCAACACCATACACCTGTCCCCAGGGCAAGGGCCATATCTCACGTTCACACCATGGAAGGTGCTCAGTTCGACTGAATAGAGACATTTTGGTGGCACATTTGGAGGGGAATGTTACTCCTGTGTCTCACACAGAGGTTTCCAGAGCTCGGAGAACTCACTCACCCACATCAATGTAGCCAATGGGCACTACCCTCTCCAGCTGGAGTTCTACTTTCAGTTGCCCACTCTTGTCCTGAGGGCAGCTGAGCCAAGGTCCCCTTGGACTGTCTGGGTTCAGCAAGTTCTCCACAGGATACTTGGGATCCTATGTCAGAGAGAGACGGAGCAAATCAGAAACCTCACTGAACCAAAGCCAAGAAGGATGCCCGCAAAGGAGGGACCCCTACATTCTCGAACCTTACCAGGCATTTTAACATGGTAGAAGGAACACTACATGGTCCATAAAAATACAGTTATCACATGACAGGGGATTTACAGACCGTTTACCCCTCCTTTATTTACAAAACTACCTCATTTCATCCTCCTAACACTTTTTTTAAAAAAGATTTTATTTATTTATACACACACACACACACACACACACACAGAGAGAGAGAGGCAGAGGGAGAAGCAGGCTCCATGCAGGGAGCCTGATGTGGGACTCGATCCCAGGTCTCTGGGATCACATCTTGAGCCAAAGGCAGACGCTCAACCACTGAGCCACCCAGGCATCCCTTCTTGTAACACTTTAGTTTACTATTTAGTTTATTTAACAGTTTCTTAGTTAACAGATCGATAAGCTGAGCTTAGGTTCAGAAACTTACCCAAGGCCACAAAGCCAAATAACCAAAGTTAGAACACCTGTTTCTGAATCCAGAGCTCTTAACCACCACACTGCACTATTTCTTTCTTTTCATTTATAAAGCGCTTTCACAGACATCTATTTATCTTTAACCCTATGAGAAAAGAAAGGCCAGGATTTTTATTCTAAGTTTACAACTGATGGTTGGAAATAAAGTAATTCTTGGTTTGAATTCAAAATTAGTATTTTTTTGTGGAAAGGCCCTGAGCAAACTACTTTCTCTCTCTGCATCTAAGTTTCTTCATCCCTAAGTAAAGGGGAGGGAGATTATATTCATGGTTTTCAATTTTGTTTTAGCAATAAAATCCATCCTCTTAACTGAAAAAATACCCTAAAATGTGTGTGTGTGTGTGTGTGTGTGTGTGTGTGTATTTTCCACAAATAAAAACAAAGCTCTGGTTAAAACACAGGTTGGGGGGCCTAAAGACTGCCTGCATTTCCAGAACTGAGTGCCCACAGAGTATAGTTTGAAAACCTCAGTATTAGGTGGTAAGGAATGATCACTAGCATTTTATAAGGCTCAGTGTATGAAGAAAACCATTCCGGCTGATTATGTTGGTAAGAAGAATATGGGTAATATTTATTTTATTTCACTTAGGAGTTGACATAGTAGTTCTTAAAGAGTCTCTTAAAGGTCTTTCCAAAATAAGCGGGGATGTTTTTGATTGTCATAATGATCCTGCTATAAATGCAGACTTATGTCACCCAAAATGCCAAGGTACCCTCTGAGAAACATAAGGTAATAAAGGTGAGGAGTGGGAAGAAAGTGTAAATGGATAGAATTTTCTGACAACAGAGGAAAGGGTGGGAAAGGGTGGGAAGTCCCTAAGAATCACCACATTGGATCAATCCTGGGCCCAGGGCCCAGCATCTAGATCTAATTGGGATAATCGGGATTTCCAGAAAGTGAACTTCTAGGGAGGAGGCTGAGATCACCTTTGATGGTGGGGCTGATATCCTCACAGGTCAGAGATGACTCTGAGTGTTCTGGCCTGCTCTCAATGAGAGAGTAACTACCCTGGTACAGACCGTAGACCTATAGTTTTAGCAGTTCCCTTCCAACTAAGGGTGGAATCCTGACGTTTCCTTCTTTACCTTTTAATTCCTGGGAATGCTTCTTTTACCCATCCTGCATTGCTCTGGGAACAATCTGAGCACAAGACCTATGTGTCCTCCTTTGACTTTGGATCTCCAAAGAAGGGGCAATGTCTCTTCGATTAAACTGGGAGTTTCCTGAAAGTGCAGCCAAGTCTCCTTTTCTTGTCACTCCTTTCAGTCACCAAGAAAAAACTATGCCTGCTAATTAAGGTTACCTGAGAGGAAAATGATACCACGTGGCTAATCTTTACAGGAGCCATGGTAGGCCCAGCAGTTCTTCCAAGTACAAGGCAAAAATACTTTCTCCTAAGATTTCTTCCGTCACCACTTTGGCACTGCCTATGTTTTGGTTCTGTCAGCTTCCAGAAGAGAAAGAATCCTCACGTTACTCCTGAAGAAAAAAACATAAGAAAAACAAACTAGCCACGGCTGGTTCTCTGGTAATTTCTGCAGCAGTAAGACTGTTTCTGGTGCCCATGATGGACACTGGGCAGGGAACAGATCTGGCTCGGAGGTGAGATTCCAACAAACATGAAACAACTGGAATGCATTCACAGGGCAACAGAGTGGCAAGTACAAAATATGTTACTATGATAATAGTGGGTTAATATGTAGGTGAACTCCCAAAGGCATGAGTTGTGCCTTTAATCATTCACCTATATTATGCCACTAGAACCTAGTACATAGCAAAGATGCGACAAATGTTCAATTATATCTTAATTTTTTCTTCCCTTTAAAATCAACCTTCTTTTAAAAAGTAAAAAATAAAACAAAATCAATCTTAACTTTGTTTTTCATTGTTACTCCCCTATTAGGAATCACTTAATAAATATTAATGCAGCTTTGCCCCTCAAAGTATCTATAATGTAGAGCTCTACATTTTCTGCTTCATCTGCTCCTACTCCTTTCATCAGAGGATGTATTTTACCTCTCATTGTTTTATTTAATATTGAAAGCTCATGGGATCCCTGGGTGGCGCAGCGGTTTGGCGCCTGCCGTTGGCCCAGGGCGCGATCCTGGAGACCCGGGATCGAATCCCACGTCAGGCTCCCGGTGCATGGAGCCTGCTTCTCCCTCTGCCTATGTCTCTGACTCTCTCTTTCTCTCTGTGACTATCATAAAAAAATAAAATAAAATAAAATAAAAATATTGAAAGCTCATTATGGACATCTGCACTTTGTCTTTTGCCAAACTTCTTATGGAACATTTTAAATATATGCAAAAACATACATATTAGTATAATGGACTTTTACTCATCCATCACCTGGCTTCAACAATTCCTTGGGTAGAGGTGTTTTAAAGTTGCCTGAATGCCTCTAAGTGTGATCTCTCCCCAAATATATATTTTTACTTATTTATGATTTATTTATGATAGTCACACAGAGAGACAGAGAGGCAGAGACACAGGCAGAGGGAGAAGCAGGCTCCATGCACCGGGAGCCCGATGTGGGATTCTATCCCGGGTCTCCAGGACTGCGCCCTGGGCCAAAGGCAGGCGCCAAACCGCTGCGCCACCCAGGGATCCCAAAAACTAGATTCTTTTTTTTTTTTAAAGATTTTATTTTATTTATTCATAGAGACAGAGACACAGGCAGAGGAAGAAGCAGGCACCATACAGAGAGCCTGAGGTGGGACTCGATCCCAGGTCTCCAGGATCTCCAGGATCACCCCCTGCGGTGCAGGCGGCACTAAACCGCTGCACCACCGGGGCTGCCCTTCTCCCCAAATATTTATACCCTGCCGTTTTACCCTTGTTTGCTACCCATATGGCCCCTAAGAATGAGTCCATGATTCCTAATACATTTCTGGCCATAATGTTTGGTCTTCTTGCCTCCTTCCCTACTCCCTCAATCTCCAATTTCTTCCCCTCATCTCCAAGACTTTCTTCATTCCATTGTCTTTGCTTGAAATGTTCTTTCCCTTTTGCACTCGTCAAATCAAATGCATCTCTGATGCTCAAATATCATCTCCATCTCAACCAGCTCAATTGATATTTCCATCCTCTTGATTCTGTGTTACAATTATCTAGGTATATGTCTTTTTTAAAAGATTTTATTTATTCATGAGAGACACACAGAGAGAGGCAGAGACATAGGCAGAGAGAGAAGCAGATTCCATGTAGGAAGCCTGATGTGGGACTCGATCCTCGGACTCCAGATCACTTCCTGGGCCAAAGGGAGGCGTTTAACTGCTGAGCCACCCAGGCATCCCATTTTTTTTTTTAAAGATTTATTTACGAGAGAGAGAGAGAGAGAGAGAGAGAGAGAGAGAGAAAGAGAAAGAGAACAAGAGACCATAAGTAGGGGGAGTGGCAGAGGGAGAGGGAGAAGAAGGCTCTCTGCTGAGCAGGGAGCCCAATGTAGGGCTCGATCTCAGGACCCTGAGATTATGATCTGAGCCAAAGGCAGAAGTTTAATTGACTGAGCCACCCAGGTGCCCCATCTGAGTATATGTCTTATGTCCCTTGACCAACTGTAAGCTCTTAGAGGACAAGCTTCATGTCTAATTCATTTCTGTATCTTCAATATAAGAGGGAGAAACATATAGTTCCAGATTAGCAAATGTCTTCTGAATGAATGACCATAAAAATTGAGCTCCAAAGGGCCAGCAGTCATGGAGTGCTCATAGTGGGGTAGATTGCTATGACAGTGGAAACAGTGAAGGTCATCCAAAAGTCAAGCACTCTTCATAGGTCACATTCAATACGGTGCCACGGCTTCAAAGTGGGAAGAATGCAGAATGAGTCTCTAGGCCTTCAGATTAATTAGAGTTGATTATTCCCACTATAGGCACTCACTGAACTTCAACATTTTTTCTTACTCTAGGCACAAAAAGATGTATTGGATATATAAAAATAATAAATAAGATATGGTCTCTATTTTGGAGAAACTCCCAGCATACGTTTGTGACTTTTTTTCTAAGATTTTATTTATTTATTCATGAGAAACACACAGAGGAGAGAGAGAGAGGCAGAGACACAGGCAGAGGGAGAAGCAGGCTCCCTGCAGGGAGCCCAACATGGGACTTGATCCCAGGTCTCCAGGATCAGGCCCTGGGCTGAAGGCGGCACTAAACCACTGAGCATCCACTGGGATGCCTGTTTTTTTTTTTTTTTCCTTCTACATTTGTGATTTGATGTGAAAACTCCATCTCTCATCACTAACACAGATGACTGACTTGGCCAGCCCCCAAACTACACTCTAGGCTTGGGGACCCTGAAGCTGTCAATCTTGGATATTTTATTTAGTTAATATTTTAGTAGGTACCAGGCAGTGTATTGGTATAGAATACACAATGAGGAGTAAGATATATACAATCTTTTTCATGAGGAGCACAGTCTATCAAACTGCTTGCAGTTCTCCAAGATAAGTGCTTTCCAACCTCCTCACGCTTGTACATGCTGTAGTTCTTATTTTTTGGCAATGGCCTGTTTACCTCACTATGTAGAGAGCACCTTTAGGATGCAGATTTTTGTCATGTTCATCATCTCTCACACCTCGGGGAGATGCTGAAACACAGTAGGTACAAAAAGCCATTGAAAAGAGTAGTTTATTAAGTCAATATACTTCCAATCAGAATTTCAGCAGAAGATTCTGACAAACTCATCAACAAATAAACGGCCACAAATTCTAAAAGACAGACAAACAGATCCCAGAAACAGACACATATAAATGGGAATTTACCTGTTGATTGTAAGATAGAACAGAGTCATGAGTCTGTCAAAAAAAAGATGAGGTAGGGCAGCCCGTGTGGCTCAGTGGTTTAGTGCCACCTTCAGCCCAGGGCTTGATCCTGGAGACCTAGGATCGAGTCCCATGTCGGGCTCCCTGCATGGAGCCTGCTTCTCCCTCTGCCTGTGTCTCTGCCTCTCTCTCTCTCTCTGTGTCTCTCATGAATAAATAAATAAAATATTAAGAAAAAAGATGAGGTAATAAATGGTGTTCAGAAACTTGGTCCAGTGACGCCTGGGTGGCTCAGCAGTTATTTATTTATTTATTTGTTTATTTATTTATTTATTTATTTATTTAATTTATGATAGTCACACACACAGAGAGAGAGAGAGAGGCAGAGACACAGGCAGAGGGAGAAGCAGGCTCCATGCACCGGGAGCCCGACGTGGGATTCGATCCCGGGTCTCCAGGATCGCTCCCTGGGCCAAAGGCAGGCGCCAAACCGCTGCGCCACCCAGGGATCCTGGCTCAGCAGTTTAGTGTCTACCTTCAGCTCAGGGCGTGATCTGGGGGTCCCGGGATCGAGTCCCACATCGGGCTCCCTGCATGGAGCCTGCTTCTCCCTCTGCCTGTGTCTCTCTCTCTCTCTCTCTCTCTGTCTCTCATGAATAAATAAATAAAAATCTTTAAACAACAACAACAACAAAAAAAAACCCCCAAAACTTGGTCTACTTGTGAAGAAAAATACAAGTAGATCCCTACCTCATAACATATTTGAAAAATTATCCTCAAATGAATCAAAGATGGAAACATGAAAAATACTTTAAGGTAACAAAAACAAGATTAAAGTAGAAATGCCAGGAAGAAGATATCCACAACTCATAAAAACTTGGACAGTATTCAGAATGTATATTTTCAAATATTACAAATCAGTAAGAAAGGACTAAAGTCCAATAGAAAACTGGAAAGAAGATAGAAATACAATTCACGGGATCCCTGGGTGGCGCAGCAGTTTGGCGCCTGCCTTTGGCCCAGGGCGCGATCCTGGAGACCCAGGATCGAATCCCACGTCGGGCTCCCGGTGCGTGGAGCCTGCCTCTCCCTCTGCCTGTGTCTCTGCCTCTCTCTCTCTCTCTCTGTGACTATCATAAATAAATTAAAAAAAAATAATAAAAAAAAGAAATACAATTCACATAAGATCTGAATGACCAAGAATCCGTATTTAAAAAAAAAAAATCCTTATACTTCCTGGTAATAAAGAAACTGCAACTCCTTCTTCCTCTAAGACCATGAGACATATAAAATATTTCTAATAGCAAAAAACCATAAAATTCTAATGTCCATTAGTTGAAGAATGGATAAATGGGAATACGGGAATTACTATATATATTATATAATAGAATACTATCTGTTAAAAGACATGAATTAGACGTAAATATACATAAACATGGACAGTCTTCAAAAAATACAGCGAAAGGGTAAGTTACAGAGTGATATAGAAAACAGCACTTAGGTTCATCAAAAAACAAAATGAATACACTTACACTGTGAATACACAGAATTTTCCCCCATAGACTGGAAGCATATCCAGCTAATTGTGACAGTAGTTGTGTCTCGGAAAGATGAAAGGGTACTGGGTCTGAGAATCGAAGACACAGAGAAGTTCAACCTTATATAATATCTGTATTATTTTATCTTTTTAAAAAATGAGGACGCAAATTGATCATGATGTCAATAGTCAATTTGGGGTGATTGGGTATAAGGTGTTTACAATATTCTCTGCATTGTTTCACATAATAAGAACAATTCCCATTTTAAGTAAACAAGATGCCTGTAGATGGTGTAAATATTACCCTGTAACTTCTGGTTGTTCCTAAAACAAAGTTGACAGGCACCCTAGTGTGAGTCCACTGCTCATCCCTGGCACTATTCTCCCCCATAGATCCAGCTGGGATGCTCAGGGGTTAAGTGTGCAGGGGCCACAGGCTGTAAGTTGTTGTCCAGAAGTAAGGCTAACAAGGGGTTGGAAATGAGTTAGGAAGTTTAAGTCGGGGCGCAGCACAGAGAATACAGATGGGAGCTGGGGATGCAGGACGCGTAGTCGGAAAGAGTATCGAGATGTGTGAAGTGATCCTAGGGCGTGAGAGGCCAAGAAGCAGTTTGGGGCAGTGGAGGTCGCGCGAGGCTCTTCTCTAGCTTCGGGAGGCTAAGCCGCGCAGCACCCCCCCCCCCCAAAAAAGAGAAAAAACCTTGGAACACGCTGTTTTGTGCATTCCTGCTCCGCCACCCATTCTCGGCAACTTCCCTCCGCATCAACAGCCTCCCAAAGCCCCTCACCCGGGACAACGGACCTCGAAGAGCCACCGCAGCCTCAGATCGTGGACCACGAACCCATTCTCCCGCCAATTCGGCCCTCTGACCTCCGCCGTCTGACCTGGATCACGCCTCTGACGCCTCTCCAGGTCCAGGAAATTGTTCTGTGGCCTCAAGAAGCCGCTGTTTCTGAAAAATGACTCCCATCGAGGCAAGAAGACATTCGCTAACAGCAAGAAAAATACATTTCGTGTGTATCTATGTATGCTTTACGTCTATTTTTAAATGTATATTTTTAGGCATATATTATGCAAATTTTCACTCGCTGCAAGTCTTTCAGAGCTCGGAGCTTAAGCTTCCGGGTCAGATTCAATGCATTCTGGGAAACGTAGTCCTTGGCCTCCACGCTTCACTTCTTGGAGCTCAGAGTGAGGGAGCGTCGCGAAAGTTGACGATTTAGAGACCCTTCTCTTTGGCTGTCCAAAAGGGAGAATTGGTGAAATATTTGCACTGAAAATAATACAAACCCAATTTCTCATTTTCCAAGAACCCTCCTTCACGGAAGCTTGGAAGTGCACGGAAACCTTCCCTCCCTGACCTTTACGCAGTAGCAGGTAGACGGTCTCTTAGTCCCTCTCGGAGCTCCGCCTGTCTTGATGCCCCGCCCCCCTGCTGGAGCTCGAGCCGCCGATTGGCTAGGAACACTTGAGCGGCGGAAGCAGCTGGCTAGCGGGGGGACGAAGGGAGGGGGGAGAGTTGTGAAGATGGCGGCAGTGGTGGAGGTGGAGGTTGGAGGAGGTGCTGCCGGGGAACGGGAGCTAGATGAGGTAAGAAGAGTTCAGAGTCAAGGAGGGAAGAGGCTCAGCCTGAAATTGAAGGGAGGGGAGGAGAGTAAGGTCCTGGGGGAGGCGGGACCCTGAAAGGGAAGGAGCCAACTGGGGGGCGGGTGCGAGGAGAGTGAAATCAGAGGTACACTGGGCTCGGGGACTCAGAGGCGGTCACGGGGGTAGGAGACTTGCAGTAACCTCAAGGGTGGAGATGGAGGACAGGGAGAGAAGCCAGGGAGGGTGGGGGGGTTAAGATTTGAGATTATTAGCTGGGGGTCCTAGGGTGTGACTGAAGGGCTCAGAGGGAGCTTGAGTTGGAGGGGCGTGGACTTCTGTAAGGGAAGGCCGGGCTTTCGCCGTGGGAGAGTCGAGCCTGGATTTGGGGTGGGGGTTGGGGACGCGGACCGCGGGAGAGTGCTAGTCTACTAGTGTTATGGCGTTATTTTTATGTAAGAACTATTTTACCTATCCTTACACTCTAGGACTTTGTACATAATGTGCACTCAGTAAAGTTTTGGGCACTGAATGGATGAATGAATGGTTATATACCGGAATTCATTCACTCATTTGACAAACATTACATGCTGTCTTTGTGCTGAGTCCTGGGCTAAGTGCTAGGGATATAGGGGCCCTCCCATGGAACAGCCCATAGCCTAGCGGTGGGAGACCCACAAGGCAGACAAGTCATTGCATCAGCGGTATAATGGTGGCACTGAAAAGAGGGGACCAATTCATTTGGGGCTTCCCAGAGGAACTGAATCTTATGGGATAAATGATTCTCTACTTCTGGCGCCTTCTGGACGTATTAGTTCTTTGAAGGTGAGCTCCTTGAGGATGTATGTCCCCTTTTCCTGTTTAATGGGCGTTGAACAACTGATGTATTAAATTACCAGTGGCCCTTGAATCACTGGGAGGGAAAAGAGACCCTGAGTTTGAAAGGAATGAAGGGATGTCGCTGAGAAGTAAAGAGAAGGTGACAAAGGAAAGGGAGATGATTCTGAGGCCAAAGGTATATTCAGAACAAGGGGTGCTTGTGACTTTGCACAGGACAGTAGATGGACAGCACAGAGGGATGGGAGGAAAGGGATTGATTGCCAGGAGTGGAATCGAGGGGATCGCTGAGAGATCAGAATATTAGAGGTCTTGGTTTTGGGGATGGGTGACTGGGGAAGACTGGGGGTGAGGCTCAAAGAAAGGGAGTAGAAGTGGACTGGAGAAGTCAAGACTGTTGCTTCGTGGTGGGATGACTTAGTGGATTCGGTTTACCTGAGTGGGATGATTAAGGTGCCAGGATGAGACTGAGTAAGTGACAGGTGGTTAGAGCAGGGGGAGGTTTTTAAAGAAGCGCTTTAGACCCATACCTGCCAACCACTAGAGGTATTTGATATCGCTCAGTTGGTGACAGCGGGTGGCTGTGGACATGACCTCTAAGGCCCCTTCCAGCTTTAAGTTTCTGTGATTACAGTTGGCTGTGGTTCAGTGAGGTGTGTTTGAAAGTGCCCTGGAAAAAGTAAATATGGTATTAAAGTTATTACGTATGGTTTGTTAGTCATGAGCTTTCCTTTGAGGGAGGCTTATTTCGGTTATGTATATCAGGGTCTATTGGGATAGAGAGCAAAAGTACTGGGAGAGGAGAAAAGAAAAAGTCTTGATCTAAGACACTTTTGATTTTTGCTTCTTAGCTTTTCTTATGTTTTAAGAACTTAAGAGCTTCTAGTTGTGTAATATACTATGAGTATGTTATAGACTTATTAGAGTGTCATGCCTAGAAATCAGCTTTATATGTCACCACCAGCATCCGTCCCAGAAACTTCTATTAACTTGTCTTACTTACTGAGAAAGAATATAATCTGTCTGGAAATTCTATATGGACTAGTTCTATCTTTTGTGTGTCTGAGAAAATAACTCTGACAAGCAGGAACAGCCAGTTATCCCTTCAAGTTCCCTTCCCCCAAACAAACGAACAAACAAAAAACCAGGGGTCTGGTCTGGCGGACCTTAGTTTATGTGAGTTTCTATTAAAGTCTACCTAGCTGTTTCTTAGCAGCCTTAATTAGTGAAGAAGGTGAAATTCATCCTTATAATTTGTAATTATGGAGGTCTACTGTGTGTTATGCACTGGCAATTCAAAAGTAAGACAGGATCTTTACCCTAAGTTACAATGTGGGGAAGAGACACGCAAATAGCTCTATAGTGCTGGATAATTGTTATAATGGAACTGTGTAAAAAATTCAGTGGGGCAAGCACTTACGTCTGCTAGGGGGAGTCAGTGAAATCTTTCTGACAGAGGTGGGTTTTGAGCTGAAAAAATAAAGATTGGGTTTACAAAAAAGTGATTTGCATGTGGTGATAGAGTTGTCTTCCGGTAGCCCTTTTCTGTTTGATGGGGAGACTACCTTAAGGCACCGGATAAGGGTAGCGGGTAGCCTAACTAAGAGGAAGTTGGTACTTTTTGCCACTTCTTTGGAAAGATGGCACATGCTGTGGTTTTGTCTTCAGGATATTGTACTTGTGTTTTCCAATATCAGATGCTATTAGCATGATAAGTGGTCTGGAATAGCAGCCATCAGTTCATTCATTCCTTTCCTCTTTTGTCTTTTCATTATTTGCTTCTCTAGTAATTGAGGTGAAAAAGGCTTTGCTAAAATGCCTCTCTTGTTTTGGAGAGGTGTTTGGAAAAGAGGGTTTAGGAAAGGTTACAGTTTATTGAGTCCTTACCATAAACCAGCCCCTGTTTAAAATAATCTACTTGCATTATCTCATTCATTACTAATAGCAGCAGCCCTGTGAGTTAGATGGTATTTTTTTAAATTTTTATTTATTTATGATAGTCACAGAGAGAGAGAGAGAGGCAGGCTCCATGCACCGGGAGCCCGACGTGGGATTTGATCTCGGGTCTCCAGGATCGCGCCCTGGGCCAAAGGCAGGCGCCAAACCGCTGCGCCACCCAGGGATCCCCCGAGTTAGATGGTATTAACTGCATTTTATACATGAGAAGACTGAGGTTGCATAACTTTTCTAGGATTCTACTGTTTGTGAGTGGGGAGGTTCACATTCTAACCCAGGTCTGCCTGTGCTATCCTGAGCTTAGCCTGTGCTGTACTGAGCACCTTCGTTCCATTTCTCTATTATTTGTGCTGTGGGTAGGTAATTTTTAAAAAATTTATTATTCATGAGAGACACAGAGAGGCAGAGACATAGGCAGAGGGGGAAAGCAGGCTCCCTACAGGGAGTCCGATGCAGGACTTGATCCCAGGACCTGGGGATCATGACCTGAACCAAAGGCAAACGCTCAACCACTGAGCCACCCAGGCATCCCCTCTGGGTAGGTAATTTAAAACTGTATAGTCTTATGATCTCATGTGAAAATTGATACAGTACATTTCATAAGTGACTGTGATTCAAAAGAGCATTTTGAGCCTCACATTTGTGACAGTGATTTTATTAATATTCCCTATTTATAATTAGGGAAGTTGAGGTTCAGAGTATTTGAGAATGCTTAGGATCTTGCAACTACTAAGTGGTTTAAACCCATATATTTTTCCAGATTCCAAAGTATTTGTTTCCCCTCAGTTTAAAGGCCTAAACTGCAAACTCATCTTACCAAAGTAAACTACCCCTTTCTTTATATACAGAAGTTTCTCTTTAAAAAAAAAAAAAAGATTTTATTTACTTATTCATGAGAGACAGAAAGAGAGAGAGAGAGAGAGGCAGAGACATAAGCAGAGGGAGAAGCAGGCTCCCTGCAGGAAGCCTGATGTGGGACTTGATCCCACGACTCTGGGATCACACCCTGAGCCAAAGGCAGATGCTCAACCGCTGAGCCACCCAGGCGTCCCAATATATACAGAAGTTTCATCTCCAAAACATGAAGTAGCATTTCATTCCTGAGAGATATAAAGTAGGGATTGACAAAAGGAATGTTGTTTTTTCTATACAGGTCCTTTAATTTACTGAAAGCTTGATTCTGCTAACCCTCCTGGATGGGAGGAGTGATTAGTTTAGGGGTAGTTAGGGAGATGAGAGATGGGTCTAGCCAGCCTAGGCTAGGTATTAAACAGGATGTAATAACTGGTTAAACTCATTTCTTGGTCTCAACTTGCCAAACCACATGGCCCTGGAGGATGTTAGTAGGGTAAACCATTGTTATGAGATAGGTGGCCCAGAAGCAGACCCACTCCTGGAGCCAGTTAGCTCCTCCTGGAAGGTGTAGCTGGCCAACCTCAGAGAAAAATTGGAGACCTCATTTTGGCACAGAGAGTTGGCTTGGGATCTAAGGTAGAAAAAGCATGTCAACATCCAATCAGGGCCAGCCTGCCTGTCTGGCCAGTGCCTGTGAATTCTGGATGTGTCTACTCTCAATGCTTGTTCATCTGCCAGAATGATGTTATATCATGCAGATCAGTGAGTAGTTTGCAGCTCAAGTTCAAAGCAAGTATCCCAGTCTACAACTAACTTGAGGTATTGTTGCCTCAAGTATGTAATTTACCTCATCTGGGCCCTATTTTATTCTTGTTAAAAGAGGAGATTGGACTAGATTGGTGGTTTTTAAACCTTTATTTAGCCATACCTATTTTCTTTTTTAAGATTTTATTTATTTATTCATGATAGTCAGAGAGAGGCAGAGACACAGGCAGAGGGGGAAGCAGGCTCCATGCAGGGAACCCGACGTGGGATTCGATCCCGGATCTCCAGGATCGCGCCCTGGGCCACAGGCAGGCGCCAAACCACTGCGCCACCCAGGGATCCCAGCCATACCTATTTTCAAGAAGAATCTTGATTTGAAGCCTTGGGGTCCTTGAAGAGACTCAGAACCCCTTGTATATCTTAAGACACACTTTGATAATCAAGGTGCTATCTGTGACTGCCCCTGATTGGATGACCCTACCGTTTGTTCCTTCAGCTGCCTTCCCCCATACTCCTAGCCCAGGCCTACCAAGGATTATTTTGTCTGTCTTCCCCACCAAACTCTTAGATGAGAGAGGAAAGCCCAAGTCTAT